GTGAGATCACCAACTGACTGCCAACAGGGGAAAAAAACTTTGGACGCAACTTAGGGAAAATCTCATTTACTGCCTATTAAAAATAGAGTGGTATGATGAGAAAAAAACAATAAGAACACCTACTTCCTATGCCCATCCTATTCCCAAGCTCAACTTCACTCCCTTGTTCCCAACCCCTCCATCTCCAGGTGGGGCAGCTGAGTGGGGTCAGTCAGTGCACAACAAACCCTTCTGCCACTCCTCACTGCTCCCCTGCAACAGCCAGGTCCTCTCCACGAGCAGCAGCTTCCTGCTGGGTGCATCCACCTGCTCAGTCCAGCACTGTGTTTCCCATGGGCTGTGGCAGGAAATGCACTCCGTATGGTCCTCTCCATGGGCTGCAAGGGAATCAAGGTCTGTGCCAACACTTAGAGCTCCTCCTCACACGTCTCTGGCCTTGGTGCTCAAATCTAATTGAAAAGGATCTACTTACCAAAACTCACTGCTAAGATGTTACTTCAGACTGGCTCTAGTCTAGCCCAACGGACTGAATGCTCAGCAGCATTAGTCTCACCCAAAAAATAAATCAGTCTGCATGCTCTAGAACTACCCTGGAATACAAAAGGAAGTACAGCAGAAGCAACTGGCAGAGCGAGTCAAGTGTAGGCACTGAAGCTAAACTGAAATTCTGACCAAAATGCAAGCTGTAGCAATCAAAATGCTTCTGCTCTTCAAAACAAAGGCTATTTAAGAAAGGTTAAGAAACTGCAAGTTCTGTGAAGTTCACATTTAAAAGGAGTTTTCATTTCCCAGATCTTCCCTGGATTGCCTGAGCCACATCTCCTCTGTTGCTACTTATTAATATAATTAGAGATTTTACAGCCTTTATCTACGTGTTTTTAAAACCTACGGTTGCTCTTAAAGCTATGAAGTGTAACAAAAGCATTGTTGTTCAAATCAGTTACTCCTTGAATTTGTTACAAAGCTCTCTTCTGTACCAACCACACATTCAAATGTGGCAATATGTAACTGCACCCCCTCCCACCCCTTCAAAAAACAACATTTTAGCATTAAAGTAAGATTGACAAGGAGTATCCATACCACTCACTGTTACACACACATAGCATGTGTCCTGTCTCACAAGATGCAGGAGCAAGGAGGATTATTGTGCAGGAGACATGGGGGAAGGGCAGGCAGAACAAAGGACAGGCTCATACGAACAGGCTTCACAAGGACCCTTGCTCATCCAACTACTAGAATTTTAGCTGTGAGGGGTTCTGTAAATATTGACAAGCAGCCACTATGCAAAAATCAATACAACCACACTTAAGTGCCTAAATTGAAACCGGATGCACTAAAAAGCCAAGTCAGTACTTCAGGTAAATCATCCAAGATGCTCTGCTTTTTAAGACGTTCCATGCAGCTCTTCAGGTTACAGCAAAATATTAGTGCAAGTACAGAAAACCATTCAGACTTTCAGAAGCTTACACCTGAATTGTTAATACAGGCAGAGTGCAGCACACAGCTGCCAAGTTGCACACACACTCACTCCAACTGAAGGATAATTTTGCATCAACATTTCATTTCCTGATCTCAGCTCCACCACCACCTCCCCTTATTCAAACACAATTGAGTACATACCATATGCAGGAAAATTACATTGTTACTTTGAACCAAAAGTATAAAGAGGAAACGGATGACAAACACATTTTTGCCTAAGCTTTGTGGAACTAATCTTCAGAAAGAGCATAAACACACCAGATTATGTAATGGCCACAAGTATTATGTTAACCCAGTCAGAGGTGCTCTTTGCAAGCATGCTACTGTAGTCTTCACCTTTGGCAAGAGTCTGCCTCCTCTCCTAAATATACAGCTTGGTTCTACACATTTAATCTTGCTTACTTTGAGAAAAAAACGAGTTTTGCGTTGAACAACTTCAAACTTACCCTTTTCTTTCCTTTTCCACAACACTATTGAGCAAGGGTACTCTCAAGACTCTCCTAGAAGTTTCTTTTTTTTTTTCTTTTTTTTTTTCCTCCAGACTCTTAGTTTAATAAATCCTCTCAATTACTTTACCTTGCTTAAATAAGTGCTGGCCAAGGGAAATACAGCTACCTTGGTAGCGATCACTGAAAAAACAACATTCATTACTCAGACAAGTAGAACAAATAGCCCAGAAGAGATTCTTCACATCAATCACTGATCAAATTTTCATGAAAATAGCCCTAAAACATTAGCATTAACAGCATAAAGTTTCACAAGAAGTTAACAATACTTGCAGTACTGATAATAGTCTGCAGTTGTTACAAAACAAGAGCAGCACTACATTACTGAGTCTATGAAATACTGTTCTGGTATAAACCAAACACATATCTGAATATACATGTATCAAAACTCAGGGTCTTGCTTGTTTTAAATTAGAATGAACTCCATACATTGCTTCCACAAGCCCATGGATTCCTGATGCATCACCATTGTTTCTAAAAACACATGCCTCAAACTCACCAAAGCAGCTACTCTGGCTGCAAGGACTGCTTTTAAGAACCTATAATCAAGTCTGGTTTTGAATGCCTAAGAACTCTAGACCAATAAACAATCTAACTTTGCTTCCTACTGCTCTTTTTTTTTTTTCTTTGCTATAAACTTAAAATCATGTTATGATTGTAAAACAGATTTTTTTTTTTTTTTAAGTGTTAAACTATAAGAGATGCACTTGATTCAACACTCTGATATGAATTATCAGCAAAACTAAGAACATCTCATAACACTCCCTCACCTGCACCATGGTTAACATTACGGTTATAAACCCCTGCCAACCAACTCCACTATTCCTGCTGTGACTTAGATCAAGATTGTCTAAACGACCCTAGCAATAGTATCAAATTATCATTCGATGTCAGAGTCCCTTATACTAAACAATGGACTGTCACTACTGTGGAAAAAAAAACACAAAAAGATGGAAAACTAAAGGGAAGCAATTTGGAAGAATACAAAATGGATCCAGTAGTAAAAACCAGCCTGCAGCCCAAGCTGACAGCATTCTAATCCCACGAGCTTTCAAATCAGACTACAGCACTTTCTTTTTTCTGCTTTACAGATTTTTACTCTTTCTATCTTCAGGGAACCATGACCTGAAAAGCAAGTCCCTCCAGAAAAAAGCAACCTGGGTAGTTCCAACCAGCGGTTCTGTGAGGATAGTGAACTCAGTGGCCAAAAACCTGGAGAAATATTGCTTGCAAAGCCTGAAAACACCAATATTTTTTAATTTTCCCCAAACAATATATGCATGAAGCAGAAATTAAAACTCTGATACAGAAGTATAAGCATAACTGAATATTCAGGACGTAAAACTGAGCGCTACAGGAATATCGGGATATAAACCTGAATATTAAGCACACTTCCAGATATAGTTAACTACAATGTCAACTTTTAAGTAAGTCAGGCAGAGCTGCAATAATGAGCACACAAAGCTCATATTCAGCCCTCATGCATACACTTTGGCTGTAAGCAGAAGCAGCCTCACTGGTTTCCACAAGACGTCAAAGGCAGGTAAAGTTTCAAAGCATAAACATCTACAAGACAAGGATCCCCAACCAGAAGGGCAACTTCCAAAAGCCATCTCCAGCTGAAGCCTTAATAGCATCTCCCCTTCAAAACAACAACAAAGCGCAACCATGAAGCAAGGGGAGGAGAAGCTACCCAGGCAGAGAAGAACAAAATCCATCTCAAAGGCTCACCATGAAAGACCTAAGTGGGGTTTCTCAGGAAGATTTTTCTAATCAGAATTAATTAAATGATTCTGTCTAATCCGAAGCCTGCTGGCTCCAACTCACCCCTGCAACTAACTGCCCCTCCCTCCTTTTCCCTGGAGGTGTTCAAGGCCAGACTGGATGGGGCCCTGGGCAGCCTGGTCTAGCATTGGATGGGGAGGTTGGTGGCCCTGCATGCGGCAGGGGGGTTGGAGATCCTTGAGGTCCCTTCCAACCCTGGCCATTCTGTGATTCTGTCAATACCACACACAGCTGGCTCAGAGTCGGTCTCTGCTCACCACTGCATTCTGAATCAAAGGTGTTACAAGAACACGATGTCCGAGCACCCCAACAAACAGCACCAATCACCCCGTTAGAGGGGCTGCTGCTGGGAACCGAGCCCATCGCATTTCACACCCAACCGAACCATTTCAGAGTTCTCACTGCAGAGAGAAGGGAACGTTTCAGTGCCGCATCATGCCAGCGCAGACCTGAACCCATTGTCCGATCTGAATTTAAAAACGCAAACACGGAGCGGACGAGGAATTAAAGGAAGAAATGCACGGTTTTTCTTTCCGCCAGCACCTCCACTCTTCAGGTCTGCCGATACGCCGAGCAGACAAGGCGCTGGTTACGGGACAAAGCGGCGTTCCCATCACCCCGCGTACGACTACACACGGGCTCCGGCAGCCGCCCCGAGGAAGGCCCGCCGCCCCAGCCCCGCTCACCGGTGGGCGCGCTGTCCAGGATGCGGAGGTCGTAGGCCCCGGAGCAGCGGTAGTTGGCGGCGGTGCCGTTGTCCCACACCACCACCACCTCCTCGGGGCTCTCGAAGCTGCGCACGGTGCCCACGTGGCCCTCGCCGCCGTCCTGCTTCCCCCACTTCCAGTCGGGGCCGCGCACCACGCGGGCCCCGACGCCCTCCACCATCACGCGGTTGTTCCTCGAGCTGCTCATCCCGCCGGCGCCGCGCGGGCCCGGCCGGCGGGGCGGCCCCGGGGGGACGCCGATGGGGTCGGGAACGCGGCGGGAGGCCGCGGGCCGCCGCCGCGCCGAGAGAGGCGATCCCGACGCGACGCCGGGCAAACGCGGCGGCCGCCGGGCAGAGGCCTGCGGGCCGCTCTCCTCCCGCCTGCGGGCCGCCCGCCGCCGGCCCGCGACCGCCGCTACATCCGGGGACTGAGGCCGCGACGGCGGCGGCACCAGGGAGACCGGCGGCGGCCGGCAGCCCCCGCCTCCCCGCCTGCGCATGCGCTCCGCACCGGCGCCGCTGCGCAGCTGCGGGGCGACGCCGCTCGAGCGCCCCCTGCCATGCGGCTCCTCCGCCGTGAGGTGATTTGGCGGCAGCGGTGAGGGGGGTGGGTCTCGTCACGGCTGCGGGTGCCGCATCTCGCTCTTCCCTCTGTAATCCTACGCAGAATGCGATCCTTCATTCGAAACGTTGTTTTTCTTTCCCCCTCTGTGTTCTTTGACAGCTTCTTAAAAGGGCGGACGCATCTGCAGCAGGCAAAAGAGTGCTTTTTCAGTCAGCAGGGACATGGCTGCAAAAAGGCAGCCCAGCTACTCTTGTATCCTTGTACCATGTTTGTGCTTCTTTCCGCTTTCATGGGTATTCATACGATTAGAAGAGTCCATGAGATCGTTTCCTGGCTTCTTTTGTGCCCATTCTAACACAACATACAGAAGAACACCATAATACAAATAGCCACCACACCACCATCGCATCTCTCCCATCACCCATCCCTTCCAAACCCTGAACTAAAGCTAAAAAATGCCTCCTCAACACGAACTTTGGCCCTGGCAATAGACACTGCCAAGCAGCATCTGACTGCTACTTCTACAGTGACTGCTGCTTTTACACTATGCCAACCGGTACCCCCCCAGGGAAGCATGCAATTGTCAGGCAGCTTGGGTTTCTGGCAGATGCTTTTCCCCATACAGAAGCAGCCCGCAGCTCATACTAGCTTTTAGATTTGGTATGTGGAATTAGAATTAAACACATACACATGGCAGAATCTCCGAGGAATTCTGGATATTTCTTGATGTAACAAAGGTTCTATGTGGGGTCTATCTAGGACAAATCTACCACATTCTGCTTTTCCAGGCTTTGATAGTTATTGGCAAGTATAAGACTCATGCGTATCTAAGCATAAGTAGGAGCACATTTTTATCACTCTTTGATAAGGCTGAATAAAAAAGGCTTTCTGCAACCAGTGTATGTGTGCCAGGAAAACCAACAGAGACCGAGATGAGAAGTAGTGACAAGTCTCCTGCAGAGAACCTGAAGAATTCACCCGTCACATTTATTTTTCCTAGAATGGCATCTTCTACAGGATAGGCCTGAAGCAGGATGCTGCTGCAGTTCAGCAGCAATGCATGTGTGCAGGTGTTATCCTGGAGCTTCTTCTAGTGGTCCTTCTCTGACTACATTTGCACTTCTAAATCAGTAGTCCCTGCCTCTCCTTCTACTCACCTGCTTTTTTTCAGCTATAGGATTTACTTGTAAAACAAACAAACAAACATAAATCAGAATCTAAAGGTATCTGACTTACCACGGAGGAGGTTTAGACACACGAACACAGATACTGGCCTCTATGGGCTGAAGGTGGGTCCTCCCCTGACAGCTAAGTGGGAGTTCTCTGTGTGTTCAAAATACAGAGGCTGTGTCATTTTGTTGGTGTTGTCAAAATATTTTAGAATACACATGGTATTACCTATCCATACACCTGCTTGATGTGTAACCAAACAGTAAGGAAAAAAAAAGTTTATAGTTCCTGGATCGTCTCTCCAAAATAGATTTCAAAATAATCAGTAGAAACCAGTTTTGAATGGAGGTTTAAAAAGACAGCAGAGAATGGAGAAGGATATAGCTTAGGTGAAATATTCATTTTTCAAGCAATGTTGGTTGGATGTTAGTGTTCCTATCTAGTATTTTTCTAATATCAGCCACTGAAACATATATCAGCATGGAAATTAGTACTGCAGTGATATGCAAAATAAGCTAACTCTGAGTAAGCACCTAAAGGCTTTTTGAGACTCACGGAAAGAAAAAGATATGAGTACCAGAATGTGAGCAGCAAAAGCAAAAAGGGAGTCTGAAAAGAAGCCAAAGCAAAGCTAGAAATAAATGACTCAAGGAAAGGTACAAACGAAATGGAGATGCCACAGAACATTGAATATGATTAATGTATTATGGCAAGAAAAATGACAGATACAGCATTTTCAGGTATGTATACACATTTTGTTTAGACTTGGAAAGTAGTACAATAAGAACTATTTTACTTTCCAAAAGGGAGAGAAAAGAGAAGAAAAGGGAAGGGAAGGGAAGGGAAGGGAAGGGAAGGGAAGGGAAGGGAAGGGAAGGGAAGGGAAGGGAAGGGAAGGGAAGGGAAGGACCCCTCTTGTTAGTTTAGGGCATTTCTCAGGCAGAGAGGATTCATTGGTTGGTTGGTTAGTTTTACAGATAAATGCATGTGGTGTTTTAAATTGCCTCTAACAAATCTTTGGTCCCAAAGCTCACCAGCTGAAGGCCTTAGTTACCGGAACAGTGCTGCTATGATTATTCACTGCTGCCTCTGTGGTGAGGTAGAGCTCACTTTGAACACCTCCAGTAGTCATGACAGAGCAGCTGGACCACAGAAGGAAATCCACACTGCTCTAGGCATATTTGACTGTAATTACAAAGACTTCCTAATATGCATTCAATGCAGGAATCTTGATGCACAGAAAGAGCTACAGAACTAGTTCTCTTCTGGCTACCAAAAATTACGCGTATTGCTGAGTCACACCATCCTCCAGCTGGTGATTATGGTCTTTCCCACTGCTTCCTGCCATTTTAGAGCAATCCAACAAGGCGCCATGCAAGAAGACCTCTGGTTTATTCAGAATTCCACATTATGCATAACCTAATGACATCCCTTTAAATTCCTTGTTATTCTTGGAGAGCATATGGCCCTTTTGTAAGTGCAGCTGTTACCCTCACAGAAAGCATGACAAACCTCACAGAACCACAGGAAACAGGACCTTGGTGGTCATCCAGCCCATGAGGCTGTTCAAAGACATTCTGGAAGGCTGTTTGTCTGAACTCTGCCCCATTGTCTTGTGAATCTGCAAAATGTCATGCTACATCAGAGAATCTTAATATAAGTATTTCCATGTATTGAAGACAGACTTTGATACAAGCTTTTCTGGACTGTCCTGCTTAACTACAGCTGATTTTAATTCTCTACTTTCCCCAAAAGGTTATTTTTCAATCCAGCTTGTTTTTCTGGTGGAGGGAAAAAAAAAAGAAGCATTAGGAAAAGTCATTAGGAAGGAATAAGTAAGCAATTGCCTTGATTTTGTTGAAATATGCATACCCTTCCATGTGAAACTCACTTGACAAACCCAGGAAGATAGATGGAAATATTTGCAAAGTGAAGTGAAAAGTGAGTGAAAAGCTGCTTTACTGAGAAGTTTTGCCCCAAAATGTAATTTAAGAAAGTATGTAAACTTCCACAGAAACCTCTGGTCTGATGAACTTGCCACGCATTTTTTGAAGTGAATAGAAAAAAAAAGTAGTTGTCCATCTGTGTCCTCTAATGTATATGCTCTAGACTCTGATGAATGAGTCATTAACATTAGGCCACATCTTGTTTGTCTAGGTTTTGAAGGGAAAAAAACACTAATTCCTCAGCCTCTGCTGCCATCACATGGCTGTGTATTGTCCTCCATTAATGCACCTATCCTGTTTACAGTTGCATTGTATTTCCATGCAATTTCTTTCCCGTTTTTCAGAAATGACATAAGTAATTGACATTGGGTTTTTTCCAAGTTTCTGCAGATTAAATTATTTTTACTGGCAGATAGTGAGCAAGCTGTCATACAACAGAACTAGCAGTTTTGGTGGGTTTAATATTTGCCTTATGTTATGCTATGAACGCTTATTATGCTACCCCTATGAATGTGTTAATTACAACATATATATTAACTGCCAATGTCAATGCCACTGTTTCTTTCCATAACAAGTTCTATCTGCTGTTCTCTTCTAGGAAAAACAACTGAGCAGAGATTATAAATAAATTACTTCATTTTCATACTGTGAAAATAAACTAATTCATTGGAGACCTGCTAAAAAGAATGAAATGTCCCAGTACCTAAGATCTCGCAATTCTGGAAAGCAAAACAAACTTTAAAAAAAACACAACATTTTAGGATGAAGAAGGGTATTTTTTCCCTGAAATAATTGTCCAGAATCTTCTCCCTTGAATAACTTTTTAAGGGCTGAGCTATTCTGACAAAAAAACAACATATCTGAGAAAGAATACATAGTGTAAAAGTATGTACTCGTGTTTGTTACAAATCCTCCTACATCAGTACACCTCAGCAGATTAAAGAGTGCATTCCTACCTGACACTTCCAAATGTTTAGCCTGCAGTTGTAGGCCACCCAGCTGGAAGTCAGTCTGGTAGAAAAGGACACCTGGGAGTCCTGGCAAACACCAAGTTGAACATGAGCCAGCCGCATGCCCTTGCAACAAAGAAGGTTGATGGTGATGCTGTCCTGGGTTGTATTTGTCTAAGTACCACCAGCAGATTCTGTAATTGATGAAATCCTTCCACTCTTCTCAGTGTTGGTGAGGCCAGGCCTGAAATACTAGGTCCAGTTCTGGGCTCCCCAGTACATGAGAGACATGGACACATCGGAGAGAGTCCATCAAAGTGGCACAAAAATGATAAAATGACTGGAACACCTCTCCTGTGAGGAGAGACTGGGAGAGCCAGACAGTTCAGTCTGGAAAAGAGAAAGCTCAGGGGATCCCATCAGTGTCCATAAACACCTGAAAGGTGAGTGTGAGAGAATGAAGGACAAGAGGCAATTGGCACAAACTGGCACACAGCAGTCTAGCACTAGCACAGGTTGCCCAGAGAGGCTGTGGGATCTCCTCCTTGAAAGTCTTCAGAAGCCTCCTGGACTTGGTGGTCCTAAGCAACCTCCTCTGTGTGTCCCTGCCTGAGCAGGGCTTGGGCCAGATGGACCCAGAGGTCTCTTCCAACCTTAACCATTTTGTGATTCTGTCCTATTTTTAAACTGACAAGAAAATAAACTGTCCTCATGGGTAATTTTTGTTAAGATCAATTAATCATGTCCTCAGTCAAACATATAGTATAGGGCCTTCTTTTATTATGAAGGATTCCAATATGCACAATGCAATGCCTGAAAAATTATTTAAGCCCTGCGTAACATATATGTTCAATTTTAACAATCTTCTAAAGCATATCAAACATGGACAACTAAAGGAGAATCTGAACATTGTATGTGTTATCCTAAGTCCCAGTCACAACATGACGTAATCTTAAATTCCAGTAAGATATCCAGCACACTCCATCAGATCTGTTGAATTCTCTTTTTAATAAAAACACTTCTAGAAAGTTTCAAAAATACAAAAAAAAAAAAAAAGCTGTTGCTAAACATACATATATAAAGTATTTTAAAAACATTTAAGATTGTGCCTACTGCTAATAAATAACTTCAATTTATCATGCCAAAGAAAAGTCTAAGGAATTGTCTAAAGGAAAAAGAGCCATTGGATATATCTGGCAGTCTGCTGAATTCAGATGGATCCATACTACAGCTGTGAACAGAACAAGAGTTTACCAAGTATGTACAGTAGTTCTTTTGCATTACTATAAAACACTCTAAAATGCTTTGATTTTGAATTTGAAATTTAAAAATGCAAATTTTTATCAATTTTAAAGTGTATATAGAGGAATTAAAATAAGTAAACAAAATTGAAAACATTTTATCTTAAACTACCAAAAAGATGCCTTGGGGCTAGGAGAAAATTTAACCCAGATTCAAAATTGAACTCTATTGCACTCTTAGAAAAATTCTCAAGTTTTGTAGCAGCTTTTGATGATTACATTCATTTTTTCATTAAAAATGTTAAGAAAAACGTCCTCAAAGTATTTACTTGCTTTATACTGAATTCAGTTTATTTTACAGTTTCATATTCTCAGTTTTCAGCATGCCATGATTTCTGAACAATCAGTTTGAAGTTAATTCACATTTCTGACAGCTACATAACTATAACTGTGTTTAGCAGTTCATCAGCTGTATTCAAATGTAGGGAATTGATTTCATGTAGAGTAAATCCCACATGAGGCTGTCCAAGGGAGAAGAGTATCAGGCAGCCTTCATGTTGCAACAGCTGTTGACGGTATCTTCAACCACCTAAACAGAGAGTGAAACAGTGCTAAGTTATGTAGTTGCATTTGTGCTCAGGATACCAGCTCTACCTTGCTGAATTGGAATTCTCACCCTTTAACTGAAGGGACAATATTAATGGAAAGCTGAATCGCATGACACAAAGCATAGTATTCCCTTTGAATCTTATGTTTCTTCTAGCTTTGATGGATGGAAAGGGCTGAGGAATATTCCCTGAAAGAGCAAAGAAAAGCAGCACGACATCCCATGCTCTTTAACATCTTTATCAAAGACATCGATGACAGAATTGAGTGCACCCTCAGCAGGTTTGCTGACGACACCAAGCTGAGTGGTGTGGTTGACACGGTTGAAGGAAGGGATGCCATTCAGAGGGACGGCTAGAAAGGTGGGCCTGGGTGAACTTGATGAGGTTCAACACAGCAAAGTGCAGAGTTTTGCACTTGGGCCAGAAGAATCCCAGGCATCCATACAGACTGGAAGGAGAGGTCCTTGAGGGCAACCCTGCAGTGCAGGACCTGGGGATCTTGATATATGAAAAACTTAACATGAGCCAGCAGTGTGCCATTGCAGCTTGAAAAACAAAATGGTATCTAGGGCTCCATCAGAAGAGGGACCTACGTTCAGCAAGGACAGGGAGGTGATTGTCTGCCTCTGCTCTTGTGAGGCCCCATCTGGAGTACTGCATCCAAGTGTGGAGTCCCCAGTACAAAAAAGACAGGGAGCTGTTGGAGAGGGTCCAGAGGAGGGCCACGAAGATGATCAGGGGACCGGAACACCTCCCCTGTGAAGACAGGCTGAGGGAGCTGGGCTTGTTCAGCCTGGAGAAAAGAAGGCTGCAGGGTGACCTCATTGCAGCCTTTCAGTACCTAAAGGGAGCCTACAAACAGGAGGGGAATCAACTCTTTGAAAGGGTAGATAACAGCAGGACAAGGGGAAATGGTTTTAAGTTGATGGAGGGAAGATTTAAGTTGGATGTCAGGGGGAAATCCTTTACTATGAGAGCGGTGAGGTACTGGAACAGGCTGCCCAGAGAAGTTGCGGATGCCCTGTCCTTAGAGGTGTTCAAGGCCAGACTGGATGGGGCCCTGGGCAGCCTGATCTAGTATTGGATGGGGAGGTTGGTGGCCCTGCATGTGGCAGGGGGGGTTGGAGATCCATGATCCTTGAGGTCCCTTCCAACCCTGGTCATTCTGTGATTCTGTGATTCTGTTCTGTGAAGAAAAAGATCTGGCAGTGTGAGGAAGTGAAGATAATGGCAAAGTTCAGGAAAGGGGCAAATAGAAACAGCTATTCCTAATGCCACAGTCATTGATTTCTTTGGTTATTTTTCATGAACACCAAGGATGCAAACATATACGGCTGTCTCTTTCCTTCAAAATCTAAAGTACTTCTGACATATGTGGACTTTACTATTTCACTACTCGAATCACACTTTAAGGAAAGAAGAACTTGTCATATGCATGAACCCCTGAGAAATGCTGACTTGAACTTTTCAAATATGTTTTTCTTCTTTCATTCCCCTGCTGATAATAAATATCTGGAACAATGAATACCATCTCTCCTTCACTGATGAAAAACTTCTCATATAGCACTGATGAAAAACTTCTCATATAGTTCATACACAGACAAGGAGCTTTTAATGTATTCCCCAAACAGGTCAAGCTGACAAAAAAATATTGTTCCCATTTTGCTTGATGAGAGGTAAAGTTAAACAAATGTTAAAAACAAACAAACAAACAAACAAAAAACTGAAACAAATAAAACGTCACATTCAAAACCGTGAGGTGAAGTGTCACCTGTTTTCTCAGAACTAGGCTGTACCACCTACTGGAATCAGCTCCAAAAGTGGGGCTACAGAGAACTCTGCTGGGACCAACTTGCAACTGTAAGGATGTAACAGCTCCTCCCTCCAACTCCAGATGGTCACAGAGACACCTCTCCTAAAAAAAAATAATAAAAAGATAGAATACCACTAATGTAACTTCCTAGTTAATAAATAAATAAACAAACACAAATCAAGCTATGACTCACCAATTTCTTCTGTAAATTATTATCTATTGCTTAAACAAAATAAATGGGGACACAGTGTAAGAACAACTCCATGCCCTTTCCCTTCTGACTAATCTTTATAAGTCATTACAAGCTGGGTTGATTCAAGAATATTAGTAAGCACTGGAGAGCATAGGGCAAATAGCAAGGATCTCAGAATGCAGGACTCTGCTCCTTTGAAAGGAAAATACAGTAAGATTTCAAAGCACTGTGTTGATCACACGTTTTCTCCACACACACTATTTGCAGTCACTGAACTACTTGGAAGTGGTTGTAGCATGAACAGGATACAGTATTTTCTTTATTGGCTCTGCAAAATCTGTCATGGGTCAAAAGATAAGTATCTGAGTACTTGAAAGTAATACTGGAATTGGATGGTGTGACAGGGGTTACTTACAAGGAAATTAGTTATTAATATTGCTGTTATTGACACTGCAGTGACATGCTTACACCCTAAAAGCAAGGCGATGCCTTTCTCAGTATGGGCATTTGTTTCAGTTTACGTGTGGCCTGTCACATGTACCTGATGCTCTTATTACTCCCATGAGTAAGCAACATAGATACAGCAACGGTTGAAAACCAGCATAGACCTCACCAATGTTTCTACAGGTCCAGATCTGATCTTGTGAATAGAATCTCTCTAGCTTAATGACTGAGGCATTAAACTGTTGGATTTGTATTCCTCAGAGACATTTCTTCAACCACCAGCATTCACACTGCCTGCTTTTCAGTCACATGTCTGTATGTGCATTAAAAGCCTTCCATGGACACACAGTGTTCTCTTCTTCTCAACCATTTGAGATTTTTCTTTATTTTTCAGGTGACTAAAGTGTTCTCCAAATTCATAGGCCTAGGACTTGAATGTAGACAGTCTGCTGCAAGCAACAATCACTTTCCTTCCTGAGAAGTAGCAGATCCCTATGCATCCTAATGCTGAATCCTCAGCTCAGCCAAATGACTGTCTCCAAAGGTTCCTAAACACACCTTGTTGAAGTCAACATATTTTCAGAGCGAAGCTCTCTAGTGCAGCTGCTCACACCAGTGCTCACTTCACGATAAGTGTTCTATCTGGGGTATACAGCATGATATTCCGAGTCAGGACCTTCCTATAGCTTTCTCTACACACAGAGCAGAGAAATTGCAAGGTTTGTAACAAAAGGTTTTCCATCCATTCAGTTTTCTTTTTCTGTAACAGGGTAAACAATCAAAGTCCAGAGCCTTCCTACCTTCAGCTTACTGATTCTCATACTTCCTTCAAATGTTGCTGTACCCCTGTATCTCTGCTTCTCTTCAGAGAGAGTACCATACTCTTACTAGTTTACCTTTATTTATAAAATATAAATTATTTAGTATCTCGTATCATTCAAATTGTATTGAATACTTGTGTCATTTTTGTATCATTCAAATTCTTCTGTGGAAAATTCTTAAACTGTATGAACTGTTTTTGCAGAAAATGAAGAAAAGTAACAGATTTCAGCTTGTCAGACTGAACTGTAAAACATGCCGGACTTTTCCAAATACCGCATCCTAATTAGCACTGTAGTCAGAAACAGACATTTCCAAAATCTTCAGATGTTACAATGGGCTTTATGTTGTTGTCAAATTAGGACTGGAATCCACTGTTTTGACCAATTGGTAGGAACAAGGTAGCACTTTAATGCAAGGAAAGCTGAAGTATCTTGTAGTACTTCCCTAAGCTCTCTGACTCAACACCCAAGACAGCGAGGAGCTTTGCCCCCGCCATCTCATGAAGAACAAGTCAGGACCAGAAATGTTTTCAAATTCTGTCAGAGCAGTGCCTCTCAGATAAGATCTGAGCAAGGAGAAGTGATGCGGTAGGCCACGCCTCATCTTCAGCTTTTACATGCCTTTTCCTGTTTGTGTTTTTGTGATGATTCTCCAAGGTATAGCAAGACAACACTGCTAAGGTAAGCAGTAGAACAACTAAATCTGTCTTGCAAGGAAGAGACTCAATAAGTATGTCTTTCCTGAACAGATCACAGAGATGAGGCATAAAATAAGGAGCAGGAAGGTACTGCTGAGTCCTGTGATGTGTGGGAGTACCCCCAACAGCAGATGCTCAGCTGCAGGACATTTGTATTATACCAGGCATGTGCAACCTGAGGGCTGGCTCAGCTTGCAATGCACTCGTCCTTCACCCTAAGCTATAAAGGTAATGTTTCTTCACTGCAGAGTGGTTCAGGGCATGTACACATTGCTCAGCAACAACCAAACCATCAGTGTGCTATTCACACTGTGTCGACTGAAACCAGGGCACAGGGAAGGCAGTGCTGATTCAAGCGATGGAAAATAATGTTATACATTTTGATAAATTGGCTAAACACAGTGCTCTGAACAGCAAAGAATATGCAGCCACGCATTCCGTTTTGATAAGGGAATTTTAGCGTCAGTTTCAAAATTGCTAAAAAAATCAATTAATGTTCACAATATCAATTTCAGTTGATAGAAATACACTACCTGGAAATTTCAAATGGAATATATAGAGTTGCAACCAGATGTTCAACTGCAAAACGTGACCATGTCTCTCTACCAGACTTCTATGAGCCCTCTCTTACCAGAGAGAAATACCCCTCACTTCACAGCCACGCCTCATTCATCTCACTGCTTTTCAGCAGTACATACATGTGTGAGCAAATATTTTCAAGGATGAAGTACAGAAAGAGTAAAATTTAGTCAAAAATCTCTGAGGAATCCCTTGAGAGCCTACTGAGAACTGCAGCCACTGTCACTAAACCAGAGCGATGCGCTAGTTTCACAAAAACAAGGAGAGATATCCCACTAGTTTTATGGTTTTGTTCTTCTTGTTTCTTATAATTTTTAAGAAAAAAAAAACATTAAAAATTAAAATTAAAACTAATTAATGATACTGTATGTTTTATGAGGGCTGTTCTGAAAGTAATGTCTCCTATTATATAATATTGGCCCATCAGATGGTGGTATGGCAGTAGAGGCTGAACCTTCCCACCAATGTTCTGTTACCTGTTGTTGTGGTCTGACAGATGGCAGCAGAGGTCTGACGGAATGGCGTCTGACATGGAAGTGTGTATGAAGCAACAGAGTGTCACTGAATTCTTGTATGAGGAAAAAATGGCACCCACTGGCATTCACTGATGCTTGCTGAACACTGATGGAGACCAACCAGTGGCTGTAAGCACAGTAAGGCAGTGAGGCTGTGTGTGGTGTGTTACAGCAGTGGTATCATCTCTGCTGGACAGACGTTTATGAGCATGGCATGCATATTCTTGTTCATTGTTGGCAAAAATGCAGAGCTAATGGTGGTGACCATGTTAAAAGCTAGTGTTTTGTAGCTGAGAATTTGCTCTATCAAATAGCGTTATTGTGCTCTTTTTATCTGTCATAGTTTCCATGGAAATAAATAGGAGAGTAACATTCAGAGTAACTTATGTATATACGATCCCAAAATCATTACACTTCACTCAACGTGGTGCAGGCAAGCCAAAAAGTTGGACTCCGATGTATTATCGACAGTGATCCTACGATTTTACCAAGGAAAAATGCAGTCACACTGCTACTTCAGCTGGAGACAGAAGCATCGGGGCAGGCAAACACGTGAGGGTCTCGCTGCAGCAATCCGTGCTGCTGGAAGGGAGCACGCAGAGATGCCCTGGGGAGCTCCAGACTGCTTCTGCTCCGCTCTGCTCTTCACTAACGCCTTGTAACGAAAGGGAGAGGTGGCAAAGCTGCCACGGACTTCAGTCTCAAGTACAACATTTCCACGGCTGGTGCGGATTAGCCAATGCTGTACCTGCAAATCCCCAGCGTCCCCTCTCCCTCCCGTACACTTCAGGATTCTTGTCCAGTACAATCAATAGCGGGCAGGGGCAGTTCCGCAGTCACCGGGTTTCCGTAGGTCGGCACCAGCCGCCCCCTCTCCCCCACGCGAGGGGAAAACGCGGGGCTGAAGCACTCCAGGAAAGCACCGGCCGCGGGCTGAGGCGCCCCACGGCCCGGCCCGGCCCTGCCGCTTCGCCCGGCCCCGCCACACCCTCTACCGCCTCACGCCGCCCCCCGGCCGCCCCGGGCCTCGCGGCCGCCCGCTCCCCGCAGACCGGGGCGGGCCGGGGGCGGGCCGGGCATGGCGCCGGCGGCGCTGTAACGCGGAGCGGTGCCCGGCGCCGTGCGCAGCCGGCGGGCAGCGGGAGCCGGGCGGCGGCTCCTCCTCCTCCTCGTCTTCGCTCCGGCTGTGGGCGGCGGTGCGGCGCGATGGACTGGCAGGTGCTGACCCGGGAGCTGTCCCTCTACCTGGAGAGCCAGGTCCGCGTGGGGCTCTTCGGCTCCGGCGTGGGCTTGTCTCTGGTGCTGGGCTTCGGCGTCGCCTACGCCTGCTACTACCTCAGCAGCATCGCCAAGGTGAGCGGGAGGGCGGCGGGCCGGGCTCCGCAGGTGTCCCGCTGACAGCGTCCCGCGGCCCCGCGAAGGTCACCTCGGTCCCTCCCTGCCCGTGCTGTGGGTGTCCGGCGTCCTTGCGGCGGGCTCAGCCCGCGGAGGGCCCTTCCGCCGGGCCGGGCCGGGCCGTGGAGGAGCCCCGAGCTTGGCTGCGCGGCCCTCCCGGAGCGAGGGGGTGCGCGGCCTCCCGCATCCCGAAACGCGGCCCTGGGGCTGGAAGGGGGGCCCGGCCCGGAGGGCGTGGGGTGACGGGCTTTGCCTGGCCGTGTCCCGCAGTGCGGTGAGGCGGGGAGCGGTGACTCGGGAAGGGACTGAGGAATCCCCTCTCCGATGTGGGTTTAGGAGCAGCACCGGTAACGAAGGAGTTCCCTGCCCTTGTGTCTGCCCTCAGTGCCGGTTTAAGTACTGTTGAACTTGCTGTTGCTGCTGCGTTTTGGGGCTCTGCCACCCTTGTACCTCTGTGTGGTACACTGAGTGGTTTCACGCATCATTTGGGTACAGTGAGCCTGATCCCGTCTAAAGTGGCCCCGCGGAGTAATAGTGAGTGCCTCATTGAGTGCTTAACCAACAGAAAATACACATATGCAAAGAGTTAAGGCTGGTAAAGACTTGCACGCCGCCACGAGCTCCCATAGAATTGCTGAGAACATTGCCTTCCTCTCTGTCAGAAAAAGGACGCTTTATTTTTGTCAGAGGAGGAAAATAAAGGGTCAGGAGGACATGCTGCTGCTGCTCTGCGTGCAATGCTTTTCTTTAAATGTTCTGTTATTGTCCTGCTACTGCCTGCATGCTGGAGAATCAGTGTAAAAGGGAAGCTTAAGAAATATGGTTGCTAAAATATGAGTCACTTGATGTGACGATTTCCACACTAATTGGAATTGATGTATTCTCACAGTGCGAAATATATCTGCATGCAGAACGTTTTAGAGGTGAGTACCAATGCAGTGTGTGCTGTAGCGTGAGGTGGGAGAGGGAGTGTCCTACTAGGTTAAAATAGGAACTGCAAGAGCACAGTCCACATCCCTGGATAAGCTTCATTTCTGCGTCGTACAGGAAAATCTATGCAATATTTCTCACTTGCAGTGTTACACTATGTTTTTGGTTCCTCAGGGAAAGGTATGATGCTGGTAGAAATAGAGCTGGAATAACGTATTATCAGAAATAGGTAAGGATTCCTTAATGCTTAGTGATTTTTTTTTTTCTTCCAGTTGTACAATTTTGACATTCCATTTGTTTTTTATTTACTTATATCTTCACTACAAAAGGAAAAAGTAATGTAAGTAAATATATTAAAGAAATCAGTCTTCTGGGAGAGGATTTAAACAGACTTTTGTCGATTTATTACTTATTTATTTATTTTTCCTCTGAATGCCCATTCCTGACTGTAGTCTCTCTTCCTAGAAACCCCAGCTGGTGGCAAGCAATGAACGTTTCTGCCGCTTTCTGGAAGAGTACTGTCCTGTTGTGACAGAAACTTACTATCCCACGATTTGGTGCTGGGAAGGTCGGGTGCAGACACTCCTGCGTCCCTTTATCACCTCTAGACCCCAAGTACAGTACAGAAAGTAAGTGCCTTTCTTCTAGAAAGTGACTGTTTGTGTAGCCAATGGTTACCTTACTCTGGGTCACAGCTACCATTATTGCTCAAGCTTGTGCCCATACATTTGCTTTATGCTCATCTCTAAAACTCTCTCCTAAGCTTGGTACTGTTTTTGTCCTGGTCTCAATATGCAGTAAGTTTAGAAAGTCAGGATCCCTATTCTAGCTCAGAGAGTTTTGGAGCACTGAAATACTGGTGTCAGTATAGGAACTGATATGGTTATATGTTCACAGACGGTTGAGGTTGGAAGGGACCTCTGAAGGTCATCTGGTCTAAGCCACCTAGACGTTGCCCAGGCCTATGTCCCAGCAGCTTTTGAAGATCTCCAAGGAGGAGATTCTGCAACCTATGCCAGTGCTCCATTGCATGCGTGGCACAGAAGTGCTTCCTGATGTTCAGAGGGAACCTTCTGTGTTCCAGTTGTGCCTATTTCCTCCTATTCTGACACAGGGCACCACTGAAAAGAGCCCGGCTCTGTCCTCTTTGCTCCTCTTTTCCCTTCAGGTATTTGTACATGTTGATAGCTACCAACTTGAACTGAAGAGGCCCAGCTCTCTTAGCCTGTCTTCACAGGAGAGATGCTTTGGGCTCTCCAGCATCTTCATGGCCCTTTGTTGGACTCTCTGCTGTGCGTCCATGTCTCTCTTGTGCTGAGGGACGCAGAACTGGACCCAGCACTCCAGGTGTGGCCTCACTAGAGCTGAATAGAATCACCTCTCTTAACCTGATGGTGAGACTTTGCCCAGTGCAGCCCAAGATACCGTCAACCTTCTCTGTGGCAAGGGCATACTGCTGACTCACCTTCACCTCAGTGTTCACCAGGACCCCAGGCCCTTTTTTTGCAGAGCTGCCTTCTCTGGGTGGCTCACATCATGTTCTGGTGCCTGGGGGTTGTTTCTCCCCAGGTACAGGACTTGGTACGTCCCTTTGTAGAACTGCAAGCAGTTCCTGTGAACCCATTTCTCCATCCTGTTGAGATCCCTCTGGATGGCAGCAGAGTCATCTGGTGCATCAAATATTCTGGTGATTGAATGCTTTCATTTTGGAAAGGTAATACTATCACTTTCTCCGTCCATTTAACCAATACGTTCAACCTTAATCATAGCACGGCTGCTCTCAGCCCAGTTCTGAATATAAAAATTCCAGACGTCTGGAATTTTCAGAGTTACTTTTACCTCTCAGGTTTATCTTGTGTTCTTTGATGCCTAAATTCTAAGAGGAAAGAAATTAAATGTATTGTTTGTCCTTAGCTGATCTCTCTCACACAGAAGTGAGACTAAGTCTGGCAAGTGAGGCATTTGGCACAAGAGCTAAGGAGAAATACTTTTATGCTCCGGAACCTGGACACAGCACAAGTTGTTTCAGCTCTGTTTGCATGGTAGAATAGATTTAGCATTTAGCAGCTTCCCTTAGTTTTAGTAACTAGGAAACATTTCAGTAGCATGGCCATGTCCACTTTTTGTAGCCTTGCTTGTGTACTCTCTGTTGCAAGGTTTGTGAGGAAAGAAATGTAGTTCCATGGGGCAAAGCTTAATTTGCACCATTTGAGATTGTGTTGGCAGTACATGCTTGAGTTGCATCTACTGCCCACTACTGAAAAAGGGCAAAGCTGACATTGTGAGTTCAAGAAGGCTGGTTAGTTTCAAAATCTGTAGTAAGTTCTATCAAAACTGTATTTTCAAATGAAAAATCAAATGCAAAGAGGACTTAAATTTTGTTTGTTTCTACATTAACTCCCTCGCACAATGTATTCATTACCAGAGAAAAGGGAAGATTCTGTATGTTTCTATTTTAAATATATATACATATATATACTGAAACCATCATTGCATTGTTTAATGCATGCTTAGCCTCTTGGGATAGTATCACATTTGTTACATTCTTAAGATACATGTTTTAAGAGTTCATGCTAGCAAAGTTGGTAGAGATATAAGGTGAAATTCTGGCTTCGCTGAATCTGTAAAAATGAAGTAGTGTCTGTCTGTGTTCCGTGTGTTAAAAACATAGCAAAGTTTGTACACACAGCTTCTTTGAGTAGAGGGAAAAAAACACGATAGATATTTAGCATGCTGCCCAAAGTGCTACCAAAAGGTTCTCAGACCACACAAAGGAAAAGAAAACTGTAGTAGGCAAGCCCACATAAAATAGGAGGCAGTGCCAAAAGCCATGTTAGTTCCAAACTTCCACTACATCAACAGCAAATGATGAAAGGTCAGTTCTTCATTGACTGTAAGCTGGAGCTGTGCCATGACTGACTGCACTAACTCATGTCACCTGAAGGTCCGATTCTTTAGGAATGTTATACCTGTAAGCATACTGAGGTGGTACTTTTAGCGTTAAAACACAATGAACAAAGTAGATTTCATACCTGGTAATTTTTACAGTTTAAGCGCTCTTACTAGAACGCATACATTTTTAAATCTAATCATGGTTGTCTTAAAATGTGCCTTTCAGTGAGCTCATTAGAACAGCAGATGGAGGACAGATTTCGTTGGATTGGTTTGATAATAATGACAGCTTATATTATCCGGATGCCAGCACAAGACCTACAGTCCTGTTATTGCCTGGTCTGACGGGAACAAGCAAGGAATCCTACATTCTTCATATGATCCATCAGAGTGAAACACTGGGATATAGGTGCTGTTGTATTTCATTACTTACATTTTGCGTGCAATATGTGTATGTAGGAGGCGTCTTCCTAAAGTAAGTGAAATTTAGGAAAATTAGTTTATGTAAGAAAGTATTAGAGGTAATAATAATAATAATCACCAAATTATGTAATAGGCAGTAAATTCTAAAAATCTGTTTTAGTATCTACAGATGTGCTCCAGAAATTGCAGTGAACACAAGCTATGTCTGCATAGGTCTTTGCTGCCGTGTCCTAAACTATAACATCAGCATTTGTGTACCTTCACACTTCCTTGAGAAGGGGTTTGTATTCAGCTTCACAAAGCCTCATGTGGATGGATTGCTGGCAGCAGGCATTGGAGGAGGTCAGCTGCTGAATGCCAGAACTGCCCAATTCAGTAGCCTTCAATTCCTGAGTGCAGAAAGGGAAGCCAACCCACTCGTACTGGTTATGCTGCAGGAAGAGGTTTGTCACCTCTTGACTGCCACTGTGTAATTTAGTTTTGTTATTAAGGCTTCTGGTCAGAATTGGGTATAATAAGTGTATTAGTCAACGGGTAAATTCCTTTATGTAATCATATTCCTGCAACTGTGCTTTAAAATACGTTCCAGGATTGCTGCTTGATATGTGGCATTTTATAATTGCAGACTGTCTTTTGGTATTGACAATATGAAATTCTTCAAGTATATATGAGTGTTTGTGCTCATTTCTGTCTATTTGTTCTCTGTTTGAACATCTGGGTGGCTGCTTTATAAATTGTAAAAATACAGCAGCACTCTTATCTGTTCAAACTGCTTTTAAAATCACTATTCCTTCAAAACTTATTTGTAAACTAGAGGAAGAAAGACCCAGATCAACAACTTAGAATTGTTTTTAAAATAGTCCCAAAAGAAAAATCTGCATTTGATCACCTAACAAAGGGATATATAACATTAAAAAGGAGAACTTTAGGTTTTGTTTTTAAACAGCATCATTTGAAAAATAGAAAAGTCATTTTTTTCATTATTCATTTTTTTCACAGGCCTTTAACCCATCTAAATGTGTATATTTTATTTAACAAAGTTATTCCAATAACATGCTAGAAAAGCAATAGAAAAATAAGATTTATTAAGAAAACATATATTCCTAAAGTAATACGTAACTGCTAGAAAATTCAGCAACTCCAACATAGAGAAAGCAGAAATACTGCTGTGCAGGACAAAAAAAAAAATGTCCCCAAGATCTTGTACAAAATGTAGATGCAGCTGTTGTAGTTTTGATTTGGGTCATTCATTGCTATTTCATAAAATGACGTTATATGGAGAATGTCTGCACGTAGCTCTCCTTTTGCAAGCACTGCACTGGCATAACTTACAGTCTGTAATTGGCCAGCTCTGAGTGCAGGCAGAGCAAGATCCATGCACTGTTGTCAGGTAAGCCATGCAATTCTCATCCTGCAGTCTGACCTAGACTGACAGATCACAGAGTTCACTTATAGTTTCACTGACTTCAGTGAAATCCCACTGGTATAAAGGTCATTCTGCACCTGTCAGATTTCAGCATTTGTAGAGCAGTGAATGTTTATGTGCTGAACTTACACGTAGAACTGGCTTGTATTTCTTTATGTATTTTCATTTGTGTGTGCGCATTATTTTTTTAAGATGAAAAAACAGTCTATATAATTGCATTTGCTTTCTCAATTTTCAGATGTGTGGTTTTTAACAATCGAGGAATTGCTGGTGAGGAACTTCTGGTAAGGATGAATGTTAAGATAAACATCTCTCATGTGTGATCAGTATATATGTAACCATCGGTGTCTATTTGTAAGGCTCTATTTAGATCAGAGAAGCTCATAGCATATGTTGAAAATGCAGAGAAGAACATCTCGTCTGATAGATCAATAACGAGTAGTTACAACCTTTTACTTTGAATCTCAGAGACCAACTGGTCAACACAAAATTGTTTTTGAGTAATTACTGCACTGAGGAGCAGTGGTAATTACTTTTACAATTACCAATATCAATTTAAGCTAAATTCTGATGCGTTTAGAAGGTGTGTTAAAATTGTTGTGCTGTTAAAATTGATCTGTATTATGTGTTACTGAATTAATGAAGCAGATTTATACGGATAGCCATGTCTAAAAATGAAATGCATTCTTCTGTGTTTCTCTGCAATTATGACACAAACTTAGCTACAAAATAGTTTTGCTGTGTGTCTGAGACATACATGTCACGTTTGCCTAGAAATAACTGGCAGTCCCACAGATGATAAGATTGTGAAGCTAAACATTTCCTGCAGCTGGGCACAAGGCGTGATGAAATACTGCTGAATAAGCTTTGTTTCTTCATATGTGTTTTGTTGAGAGTTTTGCAGCTGGTATGAGTGTGCATAATACTCAGTATTGTTTTGCATTTTTTAATCCCCTGGTTTCAAACTTAAAAAGCTCTGAATGTTTTCCCATAATCAGATAAAATATTTCAATGCAAATATTGCCATGTTAGGGTAGTTTTCTGCATACTTCTGGAGATGGATGTACAAAGCAGTTTTGTGACACACAAAGTCCTTATTGATGAATTTCTGAAGCACTAACAGAAAAGATCTCTTGTTTGGGTGCATTGTGTGAAATTTAGTGTAATCGGATTTACATATTTAAGCATTATAAGTTCTTACTGTGAAGCAAAACAGCTGAAATTGTAATGTTTTCTGTAAGGGGGTTTCTTCACTTCAATATGAAATCCCTAGTTAATGAGTTTGAAGCATGGTTGAGCAGCACAGTGGAAATTAGTCATGCAAGTAATTATTTTTCTCATCTCTTTAAAGATGGATGTAAATTTACACTATGTGATAGCTATATAGGGAATCAGCTAAACAAATTAGCTGGTTTTTTTTTTTTTTGTTTTTGTTTTTTAATTAAAGTTACTGTGAATTATTGTTATGGAATAATCAAATACTAAATGACCACAGCCAATGTGAGCTAAGACACTGTCTTAAAATACCTTAGTACAATAAATAAGTATCCTGATAAAAGTATCCGGAATTAATTGAAATTAAATAGTTTTATAAACTATAGTTTTATAACTTTAATTAGTTATAGTTTGATAAACTTTTAATCTGATATACTTTCACTTTGAAGACATTAGACCTTTTTCCTTGTAAACTTGACAACTTAATTAAAATAAAACACATTCACACCATTTATAATTAATAGGATGTAATAAAGGGCACAGTGGTTCATGTGGATGAGAATTGGAAATGCAACATGAATGGAAAACATCTTCAGCTTTAATTATCCAGATTTAGTTTTTTCTCCTTTTTTTTTTTTTAATCTTTTACTTCAACATTTTAATATTCATATTAAGTGTACTTTAAGTAATTAGCTTCTTTTAATTAAACTTGATAAAATTGTTATCCACAAATATCCAAGCTGTTTAACTGAAAATAGTTTAGAACAGCAACAGAAAAGGAAAAAAAAAAACAAACAAACCTTAAAATACAGTGTTGCTTTAAGCAACAAAAATAAAATCAGTTAATTTAAAATAGAGTACTTTCTTAGTTAGTCTTAATGTTTGTACTGAATTCTGGCAGACTAACCACTACCTTAAGTCAAGGTTTCTAACATGTTTAGTAACAACTACAGAGTTAAAATCTCTCTTGCTGTTGAAGAAATCTAGAGAACACCATTAGAAAAACAGCAACAAACAAACAAACCCGCACCACTGTGATTCCTACTGTTCCTATAAGTATTTATCTCTCTTACTCTGCTCCACAAAATCTTCAGGTTGTGACCTGTGGTAGTTGTCTATGCAGGCAAGGCTCAAAAGCCAGGCTTATCCTACCTTCAGGTAAGCAGGGAGGGGAGTATCCAAATACCAGTGATGGCAGTGGGAGGCATTCCACATTCCAGTTCAAGATCTGAAGAGCTGCAGCTGGTAGATAGAGAAGGAATATAATATATGTGTTCCGTTGCTTTTGTTAATAGAGTATGGTAGTAAGGTGGGTAAACTGCAGTACTGAATTTTTATTTATTTGCTCATATTGTGTAGAGAATCTAAATATAGTCTACCTTTCAAGTTTGAGCTGGCAGAACTTGAAATCTAGTATTTTCTTTGGCATTTGAATGTGGATGGTGATGGTCAAATTGTCATTATGGCTATTTTTTATTAGTAAATCATAGCCTTTATGATGTGTTTTTATTTCTTTAGGATATCTTAAAAATACTGGTGCTTGTCTAGTTTTATCTAGTTTAGCTAGTGACTCTGTGGTCAGATTTCACCTAATGATTTAATAGTTGCAGGTAGTGAACATCTTTATTACTTATTTTATTTTGTAATGATAGCAAGCGTCTTCTTCGTCCACCTCCTCCTGAAATGCTTGGGTTTCTGTTTGCTATTTAGGGCACTTTCAGGATAAGTGTTAAATTTACCTTGTTATATAAATGCCCCACTATACAGTTTGCTTTGTCCTTAAAGGTTGATAAAAAAGCTTATGGTGGCATTTTTCCCTATGACTCCTTACAGACTCCAAGGACTTACTGTGCAGCTAACACGGAGGATTTGGAGGCAGTTATTCATCACATACACAACTTGCACCCCTCAGCTCCCTTCATGGCAGCAGGTGTTTCTATGGGAGGGTAAGGTATTATGTAACAGAAGTCTCAGCTTATCTGTGATCTTAATAAGACTGTTACAGCACGATTGTAAATTGTAATTATTCTGCAATACTTACTGCAACTAATTTTGGTCTGTCTGTACTTGTGAATATTCGGAAGACTATTAGAAGCTTAACTTCCTTGAGGCTTTTAGCTCTGTGTCAGGTAAGGCAGAAAGCAGCCAGAGTTCAAAAGATGGAAGGGAGGAGAATAAAGGGACAAACAGGGAACACTGACAGATTGACAGAGAAACAGGTGGGCTGTACAATCTGTGGAAGCTATGAAGACCATCTTTGGAACAAAGGTATACAAAATAGAAACCAGAGCTAATGTACCTGTGTAAAACATCTTTCTCAACAGTCTCTGAAATTTCAGGTTTTAAAAAGATTTTCAGTCTGCCTGGGCTCTGCAGTGTGTGGGTAGGTTGTGCTGGAAGAGATGTGGGTATTTGCTCTGTCTCGCTCAAAAGCAAGTACTAGCATTGTTACTGAAGCCAGCATGGGTTGATTTTAGCATGTGGTGTTAAGACTTGCTGTGTCCTGGCTTGTGTCCAAAAAGCATAGTTAGAACAGATAGTGATAGAACAGTTGCTAGAAAAATCATTGCTAGAAAGTAGGAAAAATGTTCAGACAGCAAAACAAGACAAAAGTTTTTGTCTTGAACAAAAACTGAGAAGAGCTTCACTTAGAAACATGGCAGGCACAGTGGAAACTTTGAGACTTCTTTGTCATGAGTTTTATGGACAGTGGGCAGATAGCAGACCTGTACATTGGCATTAATCTACTAATGACTTGTAGGAGCTTTGGGATAAATATGGGTTTATTCAAGTATTGTAGTTATTAATTAAATCAGGAACTTGGGAGCCTTTTAAATCAGTTAGGCCAATGTTTTTCCATTGTTGCTGTTGAAATTTGGTCAGTGTATTCAGGATAAGGAGATATGGACCTCATCAGTTTGTCAGTATCAGTCTTTCTGGAAAGTCCAGAATTGGGCCCACTACTCCAGATACCACCTCCTAAGTGCCAAGTACAGAGAAATAATCACTTGCCTAGTCCTGCTTGTTTTGCTTGTACTAACATAGCACAGCATATTGTTAATCTTCATCACTGCCAGGGTGCATTGCTGATCTGTGTTTGGCTTGCCCAGTCTTTTTCAGCAGTGCCACTCTTTCTCCAGTCATGAATCTGTCTTAGGTGTAAGACTTTGTATTTGCCTTTGTTGAACTTCACAAAGTGTCTGCCAGTCCATTTCTACAGCCTATTGAGGGCACTCAGCATGGCAGCTTTGTCTTTTTGCACCTGTCACTTTCCATAGTTTGACCTGCAAGCCCACCAAGGTTGTAGTTCATCTCATTATGCAGTTGTTAATGCAGGTGTTATGCAGTATCAACCCCAGTACTGATCCCAGAGGAACATAACTAACAGATCTGACTCCTTCAGTTGTGGATTTCATGTTCCTGATCACAGCCATCTGAACCTAGTAGTATAAGCCAGTTTTCCACCACATTAAAGATCACCTATTAAGTCTCTGTCTCTCCACTGGCTGCCTGGAGACCATGGAACATTGTCAAAAGCCCTGCTAAAGTGAAAGTAAGCAACGTTCTTTCCTATGATCTTTGAAAGTGGTCAGCTTATTAGTGCAGACAGTCAGGCATGCTTTGTCCTTGGCTGTTTGGCTGTTACCAATCACTTTCTGATTCTCATGTGCTTGGAAATGACATCCAGATGAGAGTCCCAAATTTGGGCTGACCAGCCTGTATTTCCTCCTCCTGTTTTTGCAGAGTGTGTGACATACTTTTTTCCAGGCATCAGGAATATCTTATAGTTGCTGCAACATTTCAAAAGTGATAGCAATTTCACAGAGACCTTGGCTCTCTCCTTTTGGAGCTTTGGTGCACCACGCTTCATCCTGTAAATGTCTGGTTTGCATAACTGAGTCCTCACTCAATCCTCCTCTTCCATAAGTAACACTACAGTCTCCCATACTCTGCCACTAGGCAAAGGGACCTAGTAGGCCTGAGAACAGGCTTAACTTCAGCAGTAGAGACAGAAAATAAAAGGTACTCTTGGCATTTTGCAAATGTTTTGTCATAAGGTCCCCTGTTCTGTTGAGTAGTTGGTCCAGGGCGGAGTACAGGTTGGTCAGCCTCATTCTTTGAGAAGATCCTCTGGAAGCCATTTCCAGTCACACAAAGGATCAGAATGAGACTGGATTTATCAAGGACACAGTGTGCTTGAATGATCTGCTTGCCTTCTGTGGTGATACATCTGGTTTCACTGTTGAGGGGTAAGGAGTGGATGCTGCTCTGAGCATTTCTTTTGTTACCAGTGTACTTAGGGAAGCCCTTCCTGTTCTGCATGTTCCTTCCCAATTCCAATTCCAGCTGAATATTAGGTATTTCATACAGCATCTCCTGCATGCTTATGCAATGACTGTATCTCCTTGGCAGCCAACTCCCAACCTGCCCCGCCTTCCACCTTCAGGATATTTTTTTTAACTCAATCAAAAGTCCACATGGGGACTGTCTCCATACTTCAAAATTAATTGGAGCACTTACATGTTTAAAATTAAGCAGGAGCAGAGATTTCACTAGGAGCATATTGTGAATATCATCCACTTGTCCAAATCTTACAATATTTTTCATTATTTATTTTTTTCAATTTTTTTCTGAATTTCCAGTTAAGTTACATAGAACGTATTTGCCCATTTGAGAAGAAAAATAGACGTTCACTTCACAAAGGTATAAATGTAAATTATCATCTGATCTTTGGTACATATTATTTTGGAAAGGGACTTTGTTTTCTTACATAAATATTCCTAAACCTTCTCTCCGCTACATATGTTCTGTAAATTCTGTTAGAAGTAGTTTCTTCTGCTACTGCAACATTTTTTATTGGTTTATGGCTCATTTTTCTTCTTGTATATACTTCTTGGAGTATATAGACCATGGCTCTTAAGTTCCTCCTTTTCCGTGAGTGAGGGGGAGCACACACTAGCTAGATCCTATATGTGTTACAGACAGCTTTCCTCGTTGGGTTTAACTTGAGTAGTTTGCAGGCACACATTCCCAAGCACTGTTAGTTATTCTTTTCCTGCTTGTTCTTACCAACTGGTGAGTAGGCAGGAACCTACATCTCCCTTCTGTATTGCTATCCTGTAATTTGGTGGGTAGTGTGCAGGGATAAATCCTGTGTTGGCAGGCTCGTTCGCACAGTCATTGCTATAGGCTGCTGTCTCCAACAGATGAAGCCAAGGTATAGAGTGTTAGTAATTCAGGAAGCTACATTAATTTTTGTGGAGCTTCTAGTGTTTTGGCTTCAAGATTTGATGTTAAAATGCTGCTTGGAAACCTTGGGGGTATCAGGCAGTCGAGTTGTTATTTTTCTTTTACTATCTTCTTGCTAATTTAATTTTTCAGCATCTGAAGGGTCAGGTACTCATGAACTCTCCCTTTTTTCCAACTCAATTAAACATTAGCAGTACAGACTGTAAGTTGCAATTGGTCAAAAAGGCAAGATTTATACTATTTGTTTGGGTCATGATTTGTTAGTTTTATTAATTATTTATCACTTCATTCTTTACATGCTTCCTGTTAAAGAAAACATGTTCTCTCATGTGTCTGAAGTGGGGTAAAGGCATTACGTTCAATTCCAAAGACAGTTTCATAATGATGCAAGTGTGCCAGGGGTGCATTTATCAGGCAGACTGATTAGATTTACTGGTTCAGGAAGTCTAAGAGTTGTAAAATTGTAAAACCTACTAACAGTCACGAATACCTGTTCCATGAGTAAGGTGTATTTGCTTGACGTTTTCCTTCCTTCAGTGATATAAATAAGACCAGTACATATATCTTTATTTTTAAATGTACTTCTATCCGCATCCCACGCGATGCACTCGGTTCCTTTCTGAATGTGGAGAGAGAAAGCAAATTTCATGAGTCATATGCTGATAACATTGACTACTTTTTAGAAGTATTAGGCACAACTGTAAGGCTCATAATTACATTATTGTAATTATTATAAGGAAAAGCAGACAAAAAGGTGGTTGATTGTTATATTTGCTTTAGATTGAAGCAAACAACTTGATAGTATACATATTTCTGTTTTTCATTTCTGTTTGTAGCATGCTTCTTTTAAATTACCTGGGCAAAACTGGCAGAGACACCCCTTTAATGGCAGCTGCAATTTTCTCTGCGGGTTGGAATGTTTTTGAATCTGTAGAATCTCTGGAGAAGCCACTAAACTGGCTTCTTTTCAACTATTACTTGACTACTTGTCTACAATCCTCTATCAGCAGGTGAGTTGCCTTCTAAACTATTTGGCAAGATAGAAGGATGTTAGCATAAGGTCTATAGCAGGTACAATAATACTGGCAAAATTAATGATATAACAACATTTCACAAAGTTTTCTTGCGTGCATTTTTCTATGGGCTTTGAAATCAAAGGGATGTTTGCAGGAAAAAAATTGTCGTCAATGTGACTACATTTCTCTGTTCATCTAGGGAGTCAGCAGAAGACTAATGTACTTCTGGATTTATAGAATGAACCAATTTAATTTTTTAGACACCTGCAGAGTTTGAGTTGTGTATTTATATACATGTATTATATATACTAATTCTTTTAAGTCAGCTTTGATTGCAGAAATGTGGAGAGAATTAGTTCATCCTTTGTTTTGTAAAATTAGGTTGTATTTTATATTTCAAATATTTAATTCTCTGAACTTCAGCTTCTTATGACTAATGCAGATTTTGACCATGTTGCTGGATGTGCCTGCATAGAAATGAATGATTCTTATGTTCTTGATTTCCACAGGCAGATTTTTCATGAGATAAAATTAAAAACAGGCATGTTCTTGATAGGGAGTTATCTATAGAAACGTATCTATGGACCAGAGGACTTCTACATCTGTTCATATAACCTTACAATTTTTATTCCTTTCTCTCTAGGCATCGACAAATGCTGGAGAAATTATTTGATATGGATCTCGTGATGAAGGTATGCAAAAATGTTACTTTCACTTTATCTTGATGGTGTTTTACAAATGCTGACTTAATTCCCTGTTTGAATTCTGTATTTCAGGCTAGAACTGTTAGAGAATTCGATAGACAGTTCACTTCAGTCATGTTTGGCTACCGTACAATTGATGATTACTATGAAGATGCCAGCCCGTGTCGCAAGCTGAAGTCTGTAGGCATTCCAGTGTTATGCCTAAACTCTGTGGATGATGTTTTCTCACCAGGTCATGGTAAGTTTAGCTTTTTTTAAAATGTATTTCTCTATCTGTACAGTCCTTAAGACAAACTATAAAGGCCTGAGAATGAACTGTGTGTGAAGTTGTATGTAAATATTACTTACACATAGGATCACAATCTCCAGGAGTGGGTCAGTCTTCCAGTTTACTTTATAAAACACATACAAAATAGTTGGGTACAGAGGGGCCTGATTAGAATAAAACACAGAACAAGCACATGGGGTGGCAGCTATTAGCCATTAGCCTCTATATAAAAGCAAAGAAATACGTGCATTTAGGGTGTGATTTTTTTTTTTTTTCACTCTAAGAAAGATAGCAGATGTATTGCTCCCCCAGAAGTGTCTGTTTCTATTAACCAAGTATGAAGACAGCCTGTAACAAGGAGCTTAGTTATAGATGTCTGGACTGTAGGCATCCAGAGTTCAACAGAATTTAAAGCAAATATTCTTTGTTATCATTTTTTCCCTAGTCCCTACAAGGAATGTCTCGGGTTTGCTTATGTTTTGGATGATTCCAAGTCCCCTTGTTGTTGCTCACGATTCCAGTGACATGAAATCCAGTCCCTGAAAATTAAAAAGGAAGAAAGTTAGCATGTGGACCAAAATCTAGGGCAAGAGAAAAGATACAGAAGAGATGAGCTTCTAAAAGGGGATGCATTATAATCAATAAAAACCCAGCTGGATGAAACAGCAATATTAGATAGTAACTGATTGGCTGAATACCTTGCTTTCCTCTCTTCCTATTTTCAGCCAGCCATGCAATCATTATGAACACTGTGCTTTTGATCTCTAACCCTGTTGCTAACTGTCTCAAAAAAGATCTGCTTATTCCTGCAGTCTGTGTATTGATTACAGTGTCTGAGAAGGAAGAGAGAAAAGAAAACAAAAGTTAATGTAGAAGAAAATCACTGTAATTAACAGCTGGTTGAGAACACCAATGCAGTGAACACCTGATACCTTTAAATACAAAGTTCGTTTGGTTGATTTATCTCAGGGAAGTTTTCTTCTGTTACCACAAGTCAAGTGAGATTATTGTAGAATGAATCACAAAATTGAAGTTGGTAAACAGATTAGAACAACAAACAGACAAATGAAGGAACTGAAAGATACTGCATACACGTGTATGTTCTATTTATGTATGCCCACATGTAAAGCATACACTGAAAAATGTCCATACTTTATGTTAGTATTTTGAAGACCTGTTAGAGACAAATGTGACATAAAGAGAAAAGGGTCATTCCAGTGGAGTGCACTAGAAATTTTTTTTTCTTCTTTTTTTTTTCTCCTCTTGAACAAAAATTGTCTGTGCTACTCAGGAACAATATAAAGAGCTGGCAGCCACCTATCCCTTACATTGGCCAAAACAGAGACCTCAAAAAAAAAAAAAAGAAAAAAGTAAGATCAAGGTAAACTTAGTAATACTCTTCCAGAATACTTCACTGATCTTTAACAATTAATAGTTCAGAAATGTAATAAGACAGCATTTTGTTTACTAGCCTCTGTAGGATTTTTTTTTTTTTTTTTCTTGAGTTACTTTCCTGCTGCAAGCATACGCTGACTTGGAAATGATAATGGATATGGCTATGGCCTTAAACTCTGTATACAAATGTAAAATCTGGCTAGTCATTCTGAAGATAATTTTTTACTCATGGATGACTTCCCCCATAGTACCACTAGGTGTTCTAGTGTGCCATATTTCTGCCTCTCTGATTCACCTCTGTTTAGCTTTAGCTCAGTTTGTGGTTTCTATTCAAAAATAAAATACTGTGACAGGAGTAAGCTGGCTAGTTAGCACAAGTAGCTGCAGTGGTGAACTAGACAGCGTACTTATATCTCAGAGAATATGTTAACCTTATTCCCACTGGGAGTGGGACCTTTGCTAGCCAGACTAAAGCTAGTGCACAGATACTCCATCCCCCAAATCTGACATCGTGAAAGTCAGTCTGAACACAGGTAAATGCTTTTTTTTTTTTTTTTTTCTTCTCCTTTTTCTCTGTGGTTGGCCAGACACTGGAGCAGGTTGTCTGAATAAGTTGTTTGAAACACATCCACCCACAGAGGTGTGTCCATCAGGTTTTGAACAGTTCTGGGCAGCCTGCTCTATCTGGTCCTGTCTGAGAGGGAGTGAGCTAGATGATCTCAGAAGGTCCCTTTCACACTCACTGGATCTGGGATTCTGTAGCTTGACAAACCATTGGACTGAGTCCCCTGGAGTATGGCGGTACTGCATTTCTCTTGGAACTGGTCTTTAAATGAAACATGGCTCTTAGAGAACAGTGGATTATAAGGGTGGTCTCTTGTTTAAGTATCAAACCTATTCTTAGAACTAAACAATAAGAAATGCCTTAGGTGTCTTGCAGTGTAGAGAGAGGCGAGGTAGAGCATCATGAAGAATCTGAAACAATAAATGTTACCGTCTGTTAGAGACTGTCCATCCTCTTTTGAACTCCGACTCTAGCTTGCCTTTCTCTGAAAATGCTGTGGGAGCAGGCATGCATTTATTCCTTGTTCACAGAATTGCACTGTTGTTGTGATGGTGATTAGTTTTCTCTAGGACAGGTCACCAGAAAAAATACTGATTCACAGATAATAGTATGACTGTTATGTATGTGTATCTTTGACTCCTTTTTAGTTGGTGCCATATGTAACAACTTTTCACATTGAGTGCTGGTAGGAAACACAGGGCACCCCAATTAACAGCCTAGAATTTGCAGCCGCTACCAGCAGTTAGTCACTCCAGAGTAACTGGGGGTCACTCATCTTGACACTTCAGCTGTCCTGTGGTAGCAAACCTAAAGGGCTGGTGTTGTTCTGGAGAGTGACTTTGGTTTTGTTTGTTGTGTGTGGTTTGTTTGTTTGTTTTCTTGTTTGTTTTCTTGTTACTGTTTGGTTTGGTTTGTTTTTTTTTGTTGTTGTTTTGTTTGAAGTTTAAAGTGTGTGAACACATGTAAGCCCGTGGCAACTGAAGGGATTTTCCAGTGACAGCTACATAGGGGATTCAAAGGCACAAACTTCTTTCTTCAGAAGACTCCAGTCGTCTTTTGACTTTGGGAACTGATTATTTCATGCCTCATTGTGGTTCAACTCTCCCAGTAATACATGCCACCTTTTAAGATACCTTCAATTCCTTTTGTAGATAGCCCTCTACCTAGGAAACAGGCCTAGAAAACTCACTGGAGAGAAAGCTCTGCCAGAACTCTTTTGTGATTAAATATCTTTTATAAAGCCAGCCACACCTGTCTTCCTACTCCAGAGTTTGAGGAATGCAAACCCAAGTCTGCTTTATCAATACCCAATTTGGACTTCAAGAGAGATGTTGTTTATAAAGTGCAAGTCTGTTGCCTCTTATTACTTGAAAACTTCTTGCATGTCTTCTATGCTTTGTACTTTCCAGCAATTATTTTTTAATATACTGTGAAAATACATCCTTTGATATTAACCCAGGGTTAGAAAGACACAATTCATTTGCACATCCTTAATATTGATGTCTAAATGTTCACAGAGTTTGGCAGTTGATGTATCTGTAGTTTAATTCTGGAATGCAGTTCTCTTATCACGTATTACTAACTAATGAAAGCAAATGCTTTCTTCACGTCTCTCACCAAAACTAATTGAAACAAGCCTTTGCTTGAGGAAATATGTAATACAATCAAGTCAAGCCCTTTTATTTTGTAGATGGCAAAAATAAATTAAGAAGATGGAATGATAGCATTCAGTATCAGTGTCACATTTAACTTTTCATCTGAAGTGAATTTTTCTCCTCAGAAACTTTCAGCAACATATTAGGCATCCAACTTAAATTTCATCATACTAGTGCTTAGCTAATTCTGCTGGTGTGTGTTGTGTCCAAGCTGAAACCCTACCCTTGAAGTTAGGTACTGTGCTTTTTACTGGACATCTCCAACCCTCTGAATCCAAACTTGATATAATTTCTCTTGGGTGTTATTTTGCACCCTTTTCTGTAAAGACCAGGGTTTGTTTTTTCTGTTTTTTTTTCTGCAAAGAAACCACAACAAATTAATTCTGAACAAGGTAATTCTGCACAGATATTTACACTGTGGTTCTGTGTTCCCAAATCACAGATCTGTGCACTGCTGGATCAAGCAGCAGTACAAGTTTTGGTCAGTGGAAGCATATGTACAAGTTTAGATTTGGACAAAGATGAATAGTATGTCTTTTGGCATGCCACCCTGTAACCCAGAGAGCATCACATCCAGTGCTCCATTTGTCTGCACTTTACATTGCAGAATTTGCTCTGTTGCACTATGGGCTTTTTAGTAGATAGCTAACAGTCCCTGGAAACAGCTTTGAGAGAAGCACCATGTGGTTGCCAAGCATCATTTGCATTTTGGCACATTTTTCAGTTCTCTTCTGAGAAGCTGCAGAGCAAGAAACTCTGCTGGGGAAAAATCATACAAATGGTGACCTAACTGTGTCGAGAATGTGCCATGGATAGGCTTTCCTATGCTCTGTAGGGGAGGTTAGAGCAGAAATGTAACAGCAGGTCAAATTTGGCAGCTACTGAACATCCTCACTGCAAATGGAAATAAATGGCTACATATTCAGCACAGTGCTGCAGTTTTTGATAAGAGCGATGATCTGTGGCAGAATTCTGCTGTAAATGAACGCAAGATAGAATAGGGAACATTCAGGATGGTAAAGATGATGTTCAGAAAGACCTGCATATGGCTCACGCTTTACCCAGCACAGAAGAGCTGTTATCTATCTCTGTCTGGCCAGCCTTGTTGACTTTTGTTTTAGCTTTGCCTCAGCATTGCTATACAAGGCCCAGGTCCTGCACGTGGCATTTCCAATTTTCCAGCTGAACAAAGGAAAAGTGAAGAGATTTTTGTAGAGACAGTGAGAAACACAGTTCCTTCCACTTAGTAAAGAATTGAAATCACTTACTAAATGCTGGAATCAATCTACTCAAAATGCATGCAACTTTAAAAGAATGAAAAAAATGGACAGCAGTGAGTAATGAAGAACCTCAACTTTGCAAGAGAATTCCTGCTGCTCTCTGGAGCTCAAAGGCTGTGTGCTACTCAGTATGCAATCAAGTTCCTATATTATGGGCAGGAGCCAGATAACACAACATTCAGAAAAGACACTGTGCTGCATGTGCAGTGGTTTTAGCATCCACATTGAGGCCTGGAGCGAAACAGAACGTTGTGCCATGCACTGCTGGGAAGGACTTCTGAGGCACAGGCTGCTCTCATGAATATGCAGATCCAGTGCTTCTGCCCCCAACTATCTTAAGGTGGGATCTGTTTGCTACAGTCACTGCATTCAAGATCCCATGCAGCTTCTCTGGCTGACAGTCCATCTTTAGCTAAGGAACAGGCGACATGCTGTTCCTTTAGTTAATGAAAATGAGAGCAAATCGGCATCTGAAGAATGCAGCAGCGAGCCTGCCAGCATCCAAATGAAAGGGGGGAACGTGTGCATAGAAAAGGTAAAGATGTGCAGGCATAATGACTACTCACCTTTATTATAGAAAATGCATAAGTAGTAAAGAAACACAGACCTCCAGAAAGCAGGGGGCATAAAATTCAATCAGAAAGGATATGGACAACTGACCCACCCTAAAGTGAACCTGATTAAATGTCCCTTTTAAAAAATGCTTTTTAATGCATAGGGCGGCACTGAAAATCCTGTGAATGAGTCACTGCTTTCTGTTGTGGTGCCAAGGCAATTTTAACTTAGACCTGAAATCGGACTTATTTTCTTGTGGAAACACAAACTTTTTTAGACAAATACCATGAAACTCCTATTACTTCCTTCTCTCTGGACAAAATGGGTATTCTTTTGCTGCTGCTCTGTCAGTCCTGAATAATTTAAAAAAATCTGTATGAATTTTGATGGGTTTTGTGTGTGTGTGTGTGTGTGTTATTTTGTTTGTTTGTTTTTATAGCGCAAAGTTTATTATTTGTAAACTGGAACTTCAGCATTCTTCACTGGAATGTATAGAGATTTCTGCTTGTTCAGAAAATAGCATATTTAGCATATGTAGAACTTCATAGGAAACCGCTTAAAATAATAATTTCTTGAATCAAGAGCGCAAACACCACAGTTCCATAAAACTCTATCATTGTGTTGACCAGTTCATATGGTGACAGTGTTATCCCATTTCCTCATCATTTGCTTACCTTGTGTGTTTAGATAATGAGTTCCTCAGGGCAAGCACTATCTCTCACTATATTCTCATGGTGTGGTCTAAACATACAGGTGTAATCGTACAGAAAAACAGATATAATAATGATAATAACCCAGGATTAAGTTGTTCAAGGCCCCATCCAACCTGGTCTTGAACACCTCCTGGGACAGAGCATCCAGAACATGTCTGGGCAGCCTGTTTCAGCCCCTCGTCACCCTCTCAGCAAAAAACATGAACACGTGATTTCTGAAAGTTTTACAGCGGCCAGAAGAATCACACAGAAAGCCTGAGTTAATGATGAAGAGGTAGAAATGGCTTTTAACACAGCTCAGTTTCTAACTCCTGCTATACATTTAAGCCTATAGTGCATATTTATTCATATATAGTATGATAAATACCTAAAGTTCTTTTTCCTCCCTTTTAGCTATACCGGTGGAAACTGCCAAACAAAATGCAAATGTAGCTTTGGTTCTGACTTCTTGCGGAGGCCACATTGGTTTTCTGGAAGGAATATGGCCAAGGAAGTGCACTTACATGGACAGAGTCTTCAAGCAGTTTGTGCAAGCTGTGTTTGAGCATGGAAACAAAATCTTTAGCATGTAGCTTTGGCTATAGCACAATGGCACATTCCAACAAGGGCAGTTAAGCTTAATGCACAAATTTTAACTACCATAAGCCAGCAAATGGAGAAAGTCCATTACTACACGCAAAAATATTTTTTGCCTAAGATTTTGTAGCAAGAAACTAAATATGTTGTCACTTTTGTATTTATTTTTAATATGCCTTACTAAGAATGACCTTAAATGAAACAGCATTCTGCATACATCAAATTGCACTTAACCAAAATCATCAAGTAAATAGATTGTAATTCCTCAAGATTTTAATTTAAACCAGTACATATCTAGGAGAGTTAATTTAGATGGCTTTTAATATTAGAATGGCAACATTCAAAATAACACTTATTGTCCTGCCAAACATAGTACATTCCTTAGCTGAAAATCTTAAAAAAATATAAGGAAGGAACACAGAGAAGCACTGGTTCTTCAAACAAGTCTAAATTGTGGCATGCTATTCCGTAGCATTAGACTGATCGGCTTTTGCTGTTTTACCCTGACAGTATCCAGATTTAGGGCTAGTTATTGTGTTTTAAACTATGCCAATGCCATATTCATTTTACGTGTGTATTTTTTTTAAGCAGCTTATGTATAGTGTTTACATATAACCAAAAGATTCCTTTAAAAGAGTACTGTAATAACTTATGTAATTAAAAGACATTTTGCATTTCAATGTTTGTGTATAGCTGGGTGTTGTCATATCTGTAATAGATACTTCATATAACTGGTAAATTCAATTACTGTCTGTTATGTTTATATTACCTTGCAAGAACGTTACAGTTTTAAATAAGAAACCATAGAGCTCTAGGAAATTATGATATAGTCTGTTTTAAATTTAAAAATGTATAATTCTGAATCCATTATCTCTGCAATTGTTTCCAATAATTTCCAATAAGAGTGTAACAAAGTCTTTCAAGAAAGATAGGAGCTGGGACAGGATGGTGTCATTGGTTTGCTTATTTGATCACATCTGTGCTTCAGGAATAGGTTGTCAGCCATTGAAGCCTCCAGAAACTGATTGCTGCCCTGGTTGCTTATGAGGTTGTGAGGCTGCCTGAAACAGTGCTGTTTGCAGCCCTGAAAGAGAGAGCGAGCTACAGTGGATCCTTCAGGAAAATGGACAATTTTGAAAACTGCTGGGAAGGTCTAATTTAGGGCAGAGTGAAATGAAATCTTCTAAGCGGCTTCTATGGAGGTCCTCTCCCATGCTACTGATTATTTTGGGCCCAGCATCACAAAATCAGGCAATGGAGATGCCTTTGCATTTTTTGTATGTTTTGAACAGGGTCAGTGCAAGAAGAAAACATGGATAAAAAGCATGTCAGGTCATCCGTCTTAAGTAGTATGTGAACAGTCCTCTTGCAAGGCAAGTATCCTAGTAAAGGTGAAGGCAAAGGAAGAACAGAAATAACTTTTGTCTTCAGATAAAGCAGAAATCATGAAAGCTAATTTTATAAGGTGGGAGGTTACATTAAAAATTAGAAAGTTTTCAAGTTTTGACTTTTTAGGTAAGGCATTGGGCTTTGTACAGATAATAAAGTCTAACTTACTTCTTACCTAATAAGGACAGTGGGAAAAGCAAAATGAAATTTTATGCATGTTGCTACAACAGATGAAATCAGCACATTAGTAGGGTGCCTTACTCATTCTTAAATTCATTCCCATTATAGAAGTTACGTTCCTACAAAAACAATGAGCAATAAACTGTGTATTGAGCATTACATTTGTAATATCATTCGGGTATGGTACTGTTGAAAACTCAGCAGCAAATATTAATAAAAAAATAAAACCACTTATATTAAAAACACACCTTACTGATTAAATAAAAGTAACATGGTTGATGGCAGAATTTCCGTCTCTTTGCACTTATTTCATTTAGGTCCAATCCCACACACTGATCCACATGATACATTTCTCTTTGTAAGTATCTATTAAGGCATTTGTCATCCCCTTGATGTAGAATGCTTTTGCTCACATCCTGTTGGGGAAAATGCACTGTCCAAAGCACTGCATGCTGAGAGACAACAATCAAATTTTACTGTGGTTACCTTCAAGCTTTCCTGGTCAGATTTTCTGAAACGTAAGATGTAGACACTTAACTCAGTTATTTTCAGAGACAAAAGAGCTAATAAGAAACACTATAAGAAATTTTCCAATGTAATATTTTTATATGTTGTACACAAAGCTTCACTAGGAAGCTAAAATACTGAGTCCAGGATGTGCACTCTGTTCAGAAGCATGAATTCATAGGCTCTTTGGCTTTTCATGGGATCTGAGAAACCAAACAGCAACAGGGAAACAGGTGTTGGAGATGGAGAGAATTGTGTTGTTAACAAAACACATCTTAGTGGAAAGATGGGTAATGAGAACAAAATTCCAAGTCACAAGCACTTTGTAATGAAAACTTTCCTCTTGCTTCAGAACTGTGTAATAGCTGAAGTTGAAAGGAAAATCTAGAAACTGTCTAGTGCAATCCTCCTGCTCACAAGGGTGCCTATTACAGACATGCTCCAGAACATAACCTCAGCTTGCTCTTGGAGTTTATGCAATGTACTGTAAGGCCTTCAGCCACCCAGAAACCATGCTGGATCTAAGCAAAACTAAGGCTTTGGAGTACAATATATTAAGTCTTGTCAAATAGACCTAGACAAAATGAAAATTTAGAAGAGAAATGAAAATATGTTTCTAAGGATGCAAAGAAACTAACCCATAGCATACATTTCACAACGAACAGAAGGATTAATGCTTTTTTTAGGAAACCAGGACACAGACCAGTATGGCTTACAAGACTTACCAGAATGGGCTATGGAGAGCAGTAAACAACTCCATGAGAGCTGGTGTTGATGAAATGGCAATAAATGCTCTTGACACAAGGTAGGTCTTCATGGTTGTGTTGGTAAGGCACTGAGTATCAACATTCAGACACCCACATGCTGTCACAGAGCACAGTCACTCCGAGAACTAGACTGACCACTACATGGATTGGAAAGGGCCTCTCCTTTCAAGAGTTACATCCAATACGTGTTTCTGGAAGCTCCTTATCTCCTCTCAGCTGCAAGTTGCCTCTTCCAACTGAGATCCAGTAGGCAATTTCTTGAGCACTTCAAGCCAACAAAACAAAGCAGCTTGCTTATCTTAGCAGTTCCCAAATGTTTTCAAACTTTGGGCCCCTTCCCTTTTTCTGTAATTGTTTGGACTTCTCGTGCACAACTGACATACATTTGCAGTCACTGGCCTGGCCCCAAATCACTGCAAACCAGACACAGCTGTACCTCCAACATACATGCTGGATCCCTTCCTCAAGATAGGTTAGCAGTGTTTCTTGCCAGCCTGGAAAACAGCAGATAACTGCTGTAGAATATCCCAGCCATATATATGTATACATATACATATTATTATTTGTTTCCCTTCCAAGAGAGGGAAAGCAAAAATCCGCCAAACACACAAGAACCTACAATGGTCAGCAGTTCTTCATTGGCAAAAACCTCTTCCTCTGTGGGATCCAATTTTCCTGTCCTTTTTTTTTTTTTTTTTCCTACTAGGTATGCAAGAATCCAGCCTCTTCCCTCCTCTTGGATGAGGGTATGGGGACTTCATGAATCTGCAGAAATAAGGTCCCTGTGCTGTCTCAGCTTCCTTTTCAGTCCATTAAAGGAACTGTACATCTAGTGATTAGAAAACCACTAGACTAAACCAGCTTCACATGTGGCATTGGCTAACCTCTCTCAGGAATTCTTCAGATGCATTGGCAGTGTGTGCAGGGTTAATCACAGCTGAGAGGTTTAAGCAACACCTACTTCTGCATCTGTCAGTCACCACTTCCTTGCCCAGATGAGGTACCTGATTACCAGCAGGGCAGGTTCAGTATGTGTTAACACATCAAAGGGGCTGCAAGGTCTCTGTGCTAGCAAGACTGCCATGATAGGACACAGCATCAAGAACTCAGACTACAAGTATGCAGCAATTCCTTCTTGAGTCAGCTGCCACCAACAGGCACTCCAGCACTATTACACTTAAAATTAGTAAATAAAGCTAAATTAACATAAAATCCTTCTGGCTTTACACCCGTTTAATCAGCATGCTGCACCTGTGTGAATGCAGTTCCTCCTTACTCCGCAAGTCCTCTAGACCCAGAGTAAGACTGCCCATAAGCACTGTTGTTCACAGTCACCGCATCCTCTGAGGAGAACGCGTTTCTGAGAAGTTCGTGTTCTTTCAGCACAGGAGACATTAGCTCGCACACTCAAACTGAAATTAGTGCTTCCAATGCTGCCACCTTCTGTGGAAAGCTGGAAGTTTACTCATATTCTTCTATTCCATGACCTGAGTTTTCTCAAGTTTTGGAATGTAACGCTTTACAAGAAAGCTTGCTTCTTTACAAAAATTTGCTGTTCAGCAAATTACTATTGCATGAAAGGATGTGAGAAAAACCTAGCTTTACTTGCTTCATGGTCCTAAGAAAAAAGGATGTAAAAACATCATGTTAAGTTTACAAAGCTAGCCATCACATTAAAAAATGCTTTTATCATCCTCCAGGAAGTTTACAGGCAAACCAATGATTAAAGTATCTTTCATCTGGAAAGAATTCTGCTCTCCTGCAGTAACCTACAAGAGACTACGTGTTGCTGCAGTCACTGTAAAGTCACAGCAGATTATCATGCATTGAAAAGGAGCTGTAACAGGAAGTTATCAATAACACTTCTTGCTATCAGCTTTTTCAAATGCTGCAGCTGCTGAAGATCTCCATTTGCCTAGGAGAAACTGTGCTTCAGAGAGGTCTGTCAAGAAAAAGACTTATCAAGGGAGGTTCCTTGTTTCAGTTAACAAAGGGGGGAGGGGAGGAAATTACAGGTAAAGCAAAATGCCTCTATAGAATTTGATTTATATATAAAAAAAATTTACTCAGCAAGTTGTGTATGTTTCCCAACAGTTAATCTAGTATATCTAACAGCTACAGAAACAACAAAATGTTTGAGATTACAAAAAAAGGACTAAAAATTTTAGTACTGAAATGAAAATATCATCTTTAAAATACTTCATATATTAACAAAGGAATATTTAGAGAAAGTTTATGCTGTGTAGCTCTCAAGTACTACTTTTGTGCTGTTAGTTTGAAATCTGCACAAGAAACTGGGAATCTATGGGAGAACACCTGTCACACATTACCACGCATTAAAAAAAAAAAAAAAAAAATCAAACAACTTTCAAAGTCATTTACTGGTTGGCTAATGCTGAAGTTCACCACACTTGTCCCCAATCATTCTGATGGAGTGATATATTCTCACCAGCATGAAAATGTATAATGAAATCAACAGAGAGATGGCTGTGTTAGCAAGCAGAACATACCAGTGCCAAAACCAGCAAGTATACTACATGCATTTCAGATAAGACTTACTTTAGTTTTCTCCTGGCGTGGAAGAAAGAGAATACTATGTATGCTATGTATGATACTAGGTTCCTCAGCATTAGTGCTCATGGAATGGCTTGGGTTGGAAGGGACCTCCAAGTCCACCCAGTCCCACCCCGTGCTGTGGGCAGGGCTGCCACCCAGCAGCTCAGCTGCACAAGGCCCCATCCAACCTGGCCTTGAGTGCCTGCAGAGATGGGGCACCACAGCTTACATGGGCAGCTGTGCCAGCGCCTCACTGCCCTCTGAGTGAAAAACTTCCCTCTAACATCTAAATTTCCACTCTTTTAGTTTAAACCCTCTTTTTCTAGTCATATCACTATCTACCTATGTAAAAAGTTGATTTCCCTCCTGCTTGTAAGTTCCCCTTAAGTGCTGAAAGGCTGCTATCAGATCCCCCCAAAGCCTTTGCTTCTCCAGGCTGAATGAGGATGAGGAGTGCACTTTTGAAGCAACCCCCTCCATTGCTCCTACTTGTCAGGCTCCCTCTTGGAGTGTGCCAGCCAGATTCCGTTTGAGTGACATCAAACCAGCAGACATATCCCCAGAACATACATAACACACTCCAGCCCTAGTGGTGGCAGCATCTACAGGGCTGAGCTGAAGCTGCCCTGGGCTGGTGCATCTGTGAACTTCAGCCCTGCTGATTTCACTTAGAACTTCTCCTATTACTTGCTAATGCGGACGTTAGCTCAGAGCTTGAAATATCCTGAAAGAATGAATCCACAGGGTAAAGTTAGATGGAGTACAAAACCATCATCCAGAGTAATAAGAATCATAAAATCACAGAATCATTAAGCTTGGAAAAGACCTCTAAGAACATCCAGTCCAACCATCGATCTAACGCCACCATACTCACTAACCATGTCTCTCAGTGCCACATCTACTCTTTTCTTGAGCACCTCCAGGAATGAGGACTCCACTGTTTCCCCTGGGCAGCCTGTTCCAAAACTTGAACATTGTAAGACGTATTTACGTATATGTATGCTATATGCATGTTATGTACATGTTTATGCATATGAAGGACACATTTATGTACTTATGCATGTATTTATCTATGTATATTGAAATACCCTATCTTGATTTCCTGTCAAAGTTCACTAAAGTTGTTGGAGGTAGCAGCATGCTAAAAAAACCTAAACTTTCTACATTATGCAGCCAAATTGCTCCTAAATTGTAGCTATGAATCTAATTCTCAAAGCAGAATCTAGCTGCTGATGCAAGCTTCTAGCAAGATAGTCATACAGTAAGTTCTTTTCCAAAAATGCTTCTCCTATATGTTTAATTGATGTAACTGCTGTAGGAATATTGACTAATTGCCAAAGGGAAGGGACACGTCTCTTAAGCTACAGATCTATTGGAAAAATATGACTCTTTAAGACCGCCTCTTCACTGAATTAATAAGACTGAAACATCTCAGAGAATGGGCAAAAAAAAAAAAAAAAAAAATTACGGATGCCGGCATCTTACTGCCAAATGTGGTCAGACAGCAGCGATGGGGCGAGAGGCAGTGGCATCACGTTGCACCAGGGCAAGTTCAGGTTGGATATTAGAAGAAATTTCTTCTCAGAAAGAGCGGTGAGGCAGCGGCACAGGACTGCCCAGGGAGGTGCTGCAGTCACCGTCCCTGGGGGTGTTCAAGAGCCGTGTGGATGTGGCACTGAGGGACGCGGGCACGGTGGGGAGGGCTGATGGCTGACATAGATTATGTTAACGGTCTTTTCCAACCTTTAATAATTCTGTGAATCCAGTCACTTCACCACCAGACAACAAGCAAGCCCAGTTTCCCCCTATGTCGGCGCAGGCACCTCAGCCCGCAGAACAGCCCGCAAGAGCAACCCGCCACCACACCGCGCGCCGCTCCCGCTCGAGGCCAGAGCCGCGCCCTCCCCGAGGCGGCGCCCTCCTGCGCCCGCGCGGCCCCTCCCCGCGGCAATGCCCGGATGTGAGCCGCTCCGCGCTCCGCCCAGCCGCTCCGCACCGCCCCGCCCCTCCTCCCCCCGCCCCGATCCCGCAGCTGGCAGCCCGGTGCGGAGGGCGGCTCGGCGCCGCCGCACGTCCCTGCCCTGGCGCGAGGTAAGCGGGCCGGGCGGGCGGTTGGACCGGGGGTCGCTCCCGCCCGCGGGTAAGGGCTGCCGCCTGCCGGTAGCTCCCGTCGGCTCCGCGCTGGCAGCGCTTCGTCGAGCCGTTCCTTCTCCCCGCCTCGGGCCTGCCGGCCCGGGCCTGCCGCCGGCCGCCGAGCCCCGCGATCGTGGCGGGGGCGAGCGGGCGGTGCCGGCTGCCGTTGTGCCCGGCGGCGCGCGGCCGTTTCCCTCAGCCCCCCCCGGCCCGCGGGGACGGCCGCCCCGCGCTGAGGAGGGCCCGTCCGGCTGCGGGGCTCCGGCGGGTCCCGCTCCGACAGCGCTGTGGCCGCGGGGCGGCACCGGGCCCGTACCGAGGCCTTCCCTTGGCCTTTCTCTGGAGTTCCGAGGTCCGTGTGCCAGCCCGGCCCCGTCAGGCAGGTGTCCCCGGCCCCCCTCCGCCCCAACCCCCCTCTCCAGCCCGTCAGAAGCCGAAGGCTCGTTCCTGCCTCGGGGGCTCGGCGCTGTGGGTGCTGCGGCGTTGCTGGGCTTTTCTCCGCTTCGTGTAGCGAAAGCTTTGGTCGTTGCATAGTTTGTTCTCGCGTTTCTTCAGCGCCTTCCCTTCTCCTCCTAACCTGGCGTTGTACCAGAGGCACTTCTTCGGGGCAGGAGCTGAAGAGCTGGCAGGTCCTTGCCCAGCTGCTAACGGCGTTAGGAGAGAGGGATTGGCTGCTAAAAAGCCGGAGCTGTTTGTGGAAGGAGGGTGATTTGTCAGTGCCCCGAAAATCAGTACCGGCGAAGGAAGGATCGCAGTTTTTGTTTTGCTCTTGAAAATCTTCCTTGAACGTGCCCTGTCATGTGGCCCGGGGTGGCTGGAAAGCACCAGGAAGGTCTGTGTGGCTGCACGGTGTGTGTGTCATCGTGATCTCAAACGCTGGGAGTCACTGGTGTTCTCTGAACTAAAACTATAAGCCCACAGCCTCATTTGGTCTTTGTGCCTGGTGTTTTTGTCCTGACTGCAGTTGTAAACTGGCCATACCGCATCTCTTGACTTTGGAGGGTGGAACGCTTGTTTTTCTATATGCCACAGAGCACATTCACTGTTAGCAAGGCTCTGTTTTCTGCTTCTTAGGTAGAGACGTGGAAATAGAATCAAGAATGGCTTAGATTGGAAAGGACACCAAGCTGCCATGGACATGGTTGCCAACCACTAGATCAGACTGCTGAGGGCCCTATCCAACCTGGATAAGAATCAATATGAGAATACTGCCATATGAGAAGTGCTATTAGAGATTTTTTTCCCTATATATGTTCTTTAATGCCACTTCAAATGTATGTTGCTGGTCACGTGGCTTTTTTAAATGAGAAAGTCAGAAAACAGTATTGGTGTCTGTCTGAATTTGAGTATCATTCATCTTGTGTGTTTAGAGATGGCCTCACAAGAGAGTGGGTAAATGAAAATGGGGCTAAGGACAATTCTGAGTGTGAAATATTGAAAAGAATACATGGATAATGAATGGTTATTAAAAGTTGCTTAATGTGAGTATCTGCCAAATTGCTGGGGAAAAGGCATGTGTTTGTCAGTGCTGGAAGGCTTACTGAAGTTGTGCTTAAATAAAATATCTAAGCAGTGTTGTATAGCGGTAATAGTAAAGTTCCTGCTTGACCATAAAATCTGTCACTTTACATCAGATTAGTTAATACTTGAAAACTGTTAGAGTTCTCTTTTAGAAATTTGTCTGGCTGCTCTCAGCAAAAATTAATGGATAAATCTTGACCTAAAAAGGTGGTAGGGAAATTCTGATCACTTCCAGCTACCTCAGTTTTTTAGAGAGATGATTATACCTTGACTGAACAATTATTGCTTAAAGTGGTACCTTTGGATAAGAGAACTTAAAAGCTGCAGAAGCCACAGATGTAAAAGAGGGATGGCTTCACTGAGAATCTGTCAGTTTTTAGACTCTAGTGCTTATTAACTCCTGCTTCTTTAATATTGTTTCAGGAGACATCATCATCTTTAATGGCCAGGGCAAATGTCTCAAAAATGCTACTTCCTAGACCATCTGTCTCTGAACCGTAGCATAATTGGTATTAGATGGAGAAGTTGTAGACAGTTGCTGATGTCCTTAAAGTTCCGTAGAAGCAGAATCAAAACTTAAAATATAATGAATTGATTTGCTGTTGCTGGGATGCATGGAGTTGAGAGGAGGCCCACTATGAAAAAAGGGCACCTTACTGTTTTCTGGAAAAATGCAAAAGGCCAAGAAACTTCAAATATATATACTGTATCTGCCACAGTTCAAAAGATAAGACAGCAAAATCCCCAGCATTTTGAGATGTGTGAATAAAAGCAGAAATTTTTGTCTGTTTGTTTATAAATTGAATATCAAAGAAATTTTAAGCATTGTTTGAGGGGGTTGGAAAAGGGTGGGAATACTGAGTTCAGAGTCTGAGAAGAAACTTAATAAAGTGCTGACTTGATCTAAGTGCTATGTGAACATGTTGTGCTTTTCATAGGTGTCATGAAACGTCTTGTTGGTAAGCATATACGTAAGGAATGCTCTTGGCACACCGTGATCAGTTACTTTGGCCTAAACATCGATTGCCTCTTGTAGAAACCTGTAAGTAAAATAAATGTAATTTGTTTGCTCTGATGATTTGCTTTCTGAACAAAGTTAGCATGGCCTGCCTCTAAAAGGAAAAGTGAATATCAGTTACTTTATTTTGTAAAAGGGAATATTTGATTCTATTGTAACAGCTGTCAAAGACTTTGAAAGCTGAATCAATTGTTGTGTTTTACAGAAATGGCAGCTCAGAAAAGGAAGTCTGCGTTAGTAGAGCCATCTGCTAAACGTCCCAGGCTGGACAAGAACAGCAGACCATCCTCAGCAAAGAAGGAGAAAGAGGTGTCAGATGCAAAACATGTCTCAAATAAATCAAACTCTGATCAGTGTGCAGTGCAGGAGAAAACTGTACTCAGAACCTCTGTCAAATCAAACAGGTCAGTAATAAACAATAAGTAATTATTCAACATTTTCTTCCTAGACTGAATTAGTGCAGAAATGATATTAAGACAGTGA